AAAATCCAAATCCAAAAAAAAACTTTATAAGTAGCCTATGTGTTCTTCCAGACTATGGTCTATATGTGTGCCAAATTTCAGCGAGATCCATACAGCCCTTCAGGAGATATATTCAAACAAACATCCATCCATCTAAACATTCGCATTTATAATATTAGTAAGAAGTAAGATAAACTGTCTTATGTGTGTCTTATATTTTAAACTAACAACTATCTGACAGAAATTCCAACATCAATCAATATATCTTATTAAAGTAAAACGTTTTTTAAAAACTATTTAAATATCTTATAGAATTCGTTAGAAGCTACCAGGTTCTCAGAAAGTCTGTAGGTCGTAAGCTTAGCTTGAGAGAGGACATAAAAAACATAAAGGTCACTCGGACCCTAACCTAAAGATTGCGTCACTCGCCTCTTTGATATTTATTAATAAACCTTTATATCCATTTGCATAGCAACATATAAATAACTAGCTGTCGCCCTTGGCTCTGTCTGCGCGGAATTAAAAAAAAAACTTAATTAGTGGCCTATGTATAATTTATAATAAATTCACTCAAACACTTTTATCAGTACTATTAAATTTCGAATGACTAATCTATACAAATATTATAAAACGGAAGAATTTGTTTGTTTAAACGCGCTAATCTCAGGTAATTGATAGTCCATTTATAGATGAAGACTTTAGGCTATATAAAATTGAGCTGCGACCAATAGTTTTTTTATTCCGCTCGGACGGCGTCGCGGGCGACAGCTAGTAAGTGAATAAAAACAATCATAAAACTAATCAGTAATAAAAATTCAAAATAAATAAGAAAATTATTTACGACTTTTAAATTACATATCATTATTCTAAATGAACTATAAAGGTCAGACTGAACCATTATAAATCAATGTTATTGATTAAATCTAAAAATCTAGTAAATAAACATTAAAAATAAGTGGTAGAGTGTAGTCAACAGTGGTAGAGCCCGCTTTAACATCTTCGTACGAATTGTTCCGGCTCGCCCGGTGAAATATCACGACCACACAGAAGACAGGCGTGAAGTGGAAGCAATTCCGCCTATAGTCTGATGAGTGTGCGTCCCGATGGCCTAATTTAGTCCTCTATCCCTACCTACCCTTTTACTTATAAGGAAAGGATGGGAAGTGAAAGTGGACTTTCCGGATGAGAGGATGCATGGAAAGGGAAAATATTTTCTTTCTGTGCATTCTCTCCTCCGTTAATTAAAGGTAGGCAACGCATATACAATTGCGTATGTCTATGGACAACGGTCACTTCACTATTTCAGCGATTTCATGTGACCGCTCGCTAGTTTTCCACCTTATGATATTAAAAAATCATTTCACGATGTTTTCCTACATCGTAAAAACATCAGATACATAATATGAAACTTGAAATACTCAGCGGCAATCGAATCCTAGGCTTGTAAATAACAAATCCTTAACTGCACAAAACCGACGAGGCACTAAGTAAAGTATTTAAAAAAAATTAAAAGTTTCCAATTAGCATGCCTACTGAAGAGAAAACCTTAAAAATTATTTTATAAATGTATATTTAAAGCAATGAATCATTCAAGTACGGTATAGCTGGCTTGGAGTACCTCATTAGTACCACTCTAAACCCTCCTATGAGAAGCAATTAAATCTGACGACTCTAGATAATTAGTGCTAGTCAGAATTGCAACTTTAAAAGAAGATTGAATGACTACCCCCACTTTTATGATGCGCTTTAGTACCTTTTTTTTCTTTGTAATACGTTTTAATTACAAGTATGCTTCAGGTCGCGACTGTAGAGTGAACATTCAAATCTATAGATAGATTAAATTCCGCGAAACATAATTATGATGTTAGTAACCATGAAATACGAAAGACGTCGGTGGCTCAGGGCAACGCACTTGACTTGTAATCTGCAGGTCCTGAGTTCGAATGCCGCCATGTACCAATGTTATTTTCGATATCCGATTTAATAATAAAACATTTAATTCGTTCAAAAACATTATAACACTTATAACACAATCAAAAAGGGAAAAAAGGGGGAAAAAATCAAACAAATTACAATTAAGCGTTGCAATGCAAAACAGATAGGGCCTTTACATTACATATGTACATTTAACCGATGTTCTTACGGTGAAGGAAAACATCGTGATGCAACCTGGACATATCTAAGAAGATATGTGTGAAGTCAACCAACCCGCACTGGGCCAGCGTGGTTGACTATGGCCTAATCACCCTTTACTTAGGGTAGGCTCCGAGCCCCTCAGAGAGGTTATATAGAAGGGATTTTAATAACACTGAATATTTTTATAATTAGTTAAGCTAACTTAATGTTTACGTTAGAGAATATAAGAATAAAATCAAAACTGCTTTCAGTAAGATGTAAAGTGAGCTTGAAAATGTTATTTAGATTTTGAGTAATTACGCTTTTTGTTATTTGAATTAATTCAGGCTAAACGTTAGTTTGCAATGTAATTATTGTTTTATCAAAGAGTATAGGAATGTCAGTTATGTGTTTTTTTTTTTAATAATTATACACACAGTTTAGAAACCACTGTTTTTCTTTGTTAGTTCTTTGACAGTTCGAATTTATTAGCACTTCTAAGACATAAAATAGAGATTCCAAGGAAACAATGCATGTGTGTGGGGGCTACATTCAGAAACTATTTAAATTACATTTTAGGACCCACAGAGTAATAAATATAACACGTCTTTTTAAAATATTAAAAAAATTAAATTGGTTTCTGAACGATTTTTTTTAACGCAAATCGATCGCAAAATAATTTTTAAAAAGTTTTATATCAAAAAGTTAGTGTCTATGGTTCTTTAAAAAGTGACCATAAATTTAAATTGTATTTTTTATTTAAGTTTCTTATCAAAACATCGATGAGATTGTTATTCGTAAACAACAATATGCTTTCTAAAAAGCCAATTTTATATTGTCGCCATCGGCCGGGCCACGGAGACGTTCAGAAATTTAATTTCTTATCAATGGTAGCAACAATTGTCCCGTTATCTAATTTCTGAACGCATTCAATCGACCATTTTGTGTGCTGCCGTAACCAATTGAGCTTTGGCGATACTTTCCGGTGGACTATTTTCTAATACATTTTAAACACATTTAATATTTTAGATTTGGTTAAATTATATTATAGTATTTACAAGTAATTAATTATTTGATTTCTGTCAAAATTATTTACAACATATCATAGTCAAAACTATATATATAAAAGAAAGTCGTGTTAGTTACACTATTTATAACTCAAGAACGGCTTTACCGATATGCCTGAAAATTGATGAGGAGGTAGCTTAGAGACAGGAGACGGAGGATACTACTTTTTTTCATTTTTTTTTATTTAACTCACTAATATTATAAATGCGAATGTTTAGATGGATGTGATGTGGATCGATGGATGGGTGGGCTACACTAAGTTTTTTATATATCCACGCGGATGGAGTCGCGGGCGACAGCTAGTTTTTAATCAAATACATAGTTATTGCGTTTTCTATGTGGAGTGTTATAAATAGTTTGTCAAAGTATTATGACTAAGCTACCGCGTTTTACAAATGAATATCAGACAGGGGATGCACATTGCGGGCGGGGGAAAGTGCGGCAGTTGCCATGGCAACGCTTCGTTGTTTTGCCGATGGGGCGCTGGTTCGGTTTTTCTTTTGTTTTCACCTTTTTTCACACGGAAGTACGGGCGTAGGCATATGGCGCGAGCAATGTATAGGGCTGGATAATCCCGCGGATTATCCTATTTGCGTACCGGTTTAAATTATAGAATTCTAAAGAAATTTAAAAACTATTTAATATTCGTGCTAGACTATTCAAGTCAATCGCCATCGTATCATCAACGTCAAAATTTGTATTACATTGTGTGCAGCGCCTCTATCGGGCGCAAAGTATACCAAAAATGTCAAACTTATGACAATACGACACCAATTGTGGCAAATATTCTAGCAGGGCTCACAGTAACGTTGGGATCCGAGTTCGATTTCTCAAATATTTTGTTGTTCTCTTTAAATGCCATCGATTATTTACGGTTTTCAATTGCACTTAGCGAACCATATATTAATAACTTAATTTTACGTTCTTATTTTTCAATCCTAAAGTACAAGTGCTGCCATCTAGAAATCAATAACAAAAGTACTAAGTTTACGTAAGTTTTTTTTTATTAATCTTTGTTGTTATAATAGAATAAACCTTTACTTGCACGACTGTAATCCTTTTACTGTTCGACTGCCATCTCTCGAATCATTGTTGAAAATATTTTACCTTACTAGGATAAAACTAATTTTTAACATAGAAAAAAAATATTTAAATTGGGTTTTGCATGTTACAAAAAGTATTAAACATAACTTTGGTTTATGATGCTTTTATCCAAACATTGTTGGAAGTACAGAAGTGTACCAATTCGGTTCGACAACAGTTTGACATCACTAGCAATATCTTTTATTGGCTATATTTTAGCATTTAGCAACTGCAGCCAATAACGCTTCATTTGATACCACGTTCGTATTCAACCTTAAAAAAATAGCAAATACTTTCAGACCGGCTGAAATTAAGCCGTTCAAAGTAAGGTACTAATACTGTTCTTTTGATATTTCCATACCAAAGTGTTTGTCTGATCCCTTATCTAACATTCATTTACTTATAAACTTTTAGAATTATGTAGTAGGATATAAAGTAGAATTTAACTATTGTACATAAATTGTACAACATAAAATTAACATTTGGGACATTTAACACGTCTATGTACATTTTGGAGTACGCGCGTAGAATATGGCCTGCAATTAATTGGAGTATAACATAATTGGTTATTTTTCTATTTAATAAATATTAGTAATAGTTCAGCAACTCTTTAATAGTTAAAATATTTAGGGAAACTGCCTTCAAAATTAAATCTAAAAAAATACACTATTTTAACACCTAACTTAACCAATACCTAACACGCCTAACACATACATAATCTATGACGTGGATATTCATTTTTTGCACTGGCAACTTTAAGATTTTGACATTTAACATTCGAGTTCGACAGTTCCGAATTTTGTGAAAAAAAAATAAAAACTACTTTGTTCGCGAACAGTGATTCGCAATAATAACATTGTAAATTAAACAAAACCATGCTTTCAAGTCTCAGAACCGGGATACAAGGGCTGGTACGTGAATAATATAAAAATAAACAAAAGATGCGAATTTTAATTAAAACAAAAATTACATAATGTCCAATGTGATTAGTCGCTATAAGATTTATAAACACTTTCAGTGGCGTGTATCCTCGAGGGCCTTACAGACCACGACCAGCTTGCAGCATGACAGTTTGTTTGTACACCGGGATACTCCAGAAGATAATCCTAACATACCATTCGAATTCACGCCAGAAAACAACAAGGTACAGTCCATCAGTATAAAAAAAACATTGCTATTACAATTTAATACAGTGGTGATAGTAATTTTCTAAATTTAAATTTGGAACATTCAGTTTGAGTAAAAGCTAACCTCACTCTTATTGGGAAACAGCTGTGCAATATTGACATTCATTCTATCTGTTCCAAATTCAAATATACTATTGATTAATTTAACGAATCAATTTAGTAAATAATTTAGAAACTCACTTTTAATTTATAAGAATTTCCTAAAGTAATTTTAGTAAAAATTCACACATTTTAAAAATCAACTTTAAATGTCTGAATATACTAGAAATCTGAATTTGAAAATATTTAAATTTACATTGAGATTAGCATAACTTTATTGTAGGTTTTCTGTTTTCAAAGTTAATGATGTTTTTATATAAGTGTTGGAAATCCAAATTTATGCTACAACTCTTATTTCATCTTACTTTTAGCGAATTGAAGCACTCCTGGCAATTTACCCCGAGGGTCATAAAAGGGGTGCGATGATTCCCCTGCTAGATCTGGCTCAGCGTCAGAATGGTGGTTGGCTGCCTATATCCGCGATGCACAAAGTTGCAGAACTACTAAACTTACCTCGAATGAGAGTGTATGAAGTTGCCACATTCTACACCATGTTTATCAGGTAAATTATAAAATATACTGTTTATTACAAAATAAAGAAATTACTATGACACTTAGGGAAAGAGAATAAACCAAATGACACTAGACTTCAAAATCAGTTCAGCTATTTTGGCTACAGGCGTCCAATGGAATATAAAATGCAAGCAAAACCTTATCAGACAAGTAAAAGGTCACAAAACATGAATTAGGTGAGGTAGGTCATATAAGTTTTAACAATAGGTTTCTGAAACCAAAATCCTTGTTTAAAACCTATATAAACAGATTTTCGGTCTCACAAACCAACAGTTGGAGGCAGAAACACACTACAAAAACTATCTTCTGTTTTTTCCAGGAGACCTATTGGCAAATACCATGTCCAAGTGTGCACTACAACTCCGTGTTGGCTGCGTGGTTCTGATATTGTACTGAATGCTATCAAAGAAGCCACAGGCTGTGAAGTTGGTGGCAATAGTCCTTGCGGAAAATTCTCCATATCCGAGGTAAAGATTATGTAATGGCCATTTATAGTACAACAAGTTTACTTCGGCTGGTAGACAAAAGTGAGGTTAATAACATATCAATGTCCTCTTAACATAACCAAAAAAATGTCAGTAGATCTTACATGATCCATGCCACACTATAGTTGTTTTGTATATAATTTTCCAGTCATAAGTAGCTAAAACCAGCATAATATTGCTAGTCTATAATTATATTACACTCAATTAGTGGATTTTAGATATTATTTTGTACTATTTGTCGCCTGCAACTTAATAAGTAGCCTATGTGTTCTTCCAGATGTTCTAAATCTGTGCCAAATTTCATTAAAATCCATTAAGCTGTTCCGGAGATCTTCTAACAAATAAACAAATATCTATTCATCCATCTATCTAAAGTAATATTAGTAAGGTTTATATAAATTATCTTTGCAGGTGGAATGTCTCGGAGCTTGTGTGAATGCACCTATGATCCAAGTTAATGATGATTACTATGTAGGTATCATCAATTTTTTTTTGTATACAGTCAAAACTGGAGATAGAGTCCAAGAGACTAATATTCCTCTCGCTAATAGAGATTTCTGTCTTACCCGAGTTTCTCAATTAGGGTTACCATTCTTCGGGACCGTAGACTCTCTCGCAAAATGTGTATATTAATTAATCTTAATAGTACCTATATTTCTATGTTGTACTAAAACAGTGTTAAATTAAAATTAATTGTAAAAAAAAATGTTTTTTAAATGACATTAGATAAATGTTCGAAACAATATTTCTTCTTAATTTTTTAAACTATTTTTACAGGAGGATCTTACTGTTGAAGATACTAAGGAAATTATTGAAAAGTTAAAGAGGGATGAAAAACCTAAACCAGGCCCAAGGTATTTCCTACATAGATTTTTTTAACATTGTATTAAAGCCATACTATTAATTTGATAAGTAACCAAATCTTAGAGATAACACAAACATGCTTAAAGAATTATTCTAACTGTTTAAAAAAAACCTCAAGTTAAATAAATATTAAATAAGTTTACTTTAGTTAAAAATTCTCTTTGAAACTTGAAAAAAAAAACAAATATTTTTTTTAATAATGAGATTAATAAAATCTTTTCTAGGAGTGGGCGTTATGCTTCAGAACCTTTGGGAGGACTTACTTCTTTAACCGAAGAGCCAACAGGACCAGGCTTCGGTCTACAGGATGCTCTCAAATGAGAAATCACATAGTTTTGTTGTAAAAACGTTTATTTAACTAGGCAATACTGAAATAAATAAATCATGTTATGTTGTTTTTTATTTTCTGTATTATTTTCATTTAACAATCCTAAAGAAATTTTACAGCTATAGGAACATTGTTAAAGCAACTTAATTTTTTTTATGTCAAATAATTTTCTTTGACTCATCAAGGCGGCAAAGTATAATCATTTTAATATTTTTTTTATTATTAGGTATGTAATATTAATTTAGTTTCAAATTTAATCTCACGTTAATCAATCATTTGTCTTGTTAATCGTATAATTCGTATTGGACCATCACATCCCTGATAAAAAAATTGTAACATTTACAGGATGTTACAATGCAATTTGAAACTAAACTACTAAGATTCATTAAATCGACTTGAATCATGAAATTAATACCACTTTAAGTGATGTTTTTGTGCATCCTCTATGATACTTAAGTCTACTTTTAACCTTTTATTTTACATTTATTCACTTTGAATAAAAAATGCTTTATTGAGTTAGCACTTATTTAAGGAAAAAGTACAAAAATAAATATGATTCGTTACCGTTAAAACGGAAAAGAGATTAAAATGATAGGTCAGGCTTTGTTAAACATGCTGTATCCATTTATTTCGTTCTCTGATAAGAGTACTATGATTAAGGATTCCCTTCAGTTGTATTTATGATTAAGTCGTGTTAGTGTTGTGATCAGTCCATGTTAGGTATTGTTAGATAATTTATTGGTAATATTGTTACGTCATTGTGTTTAATTTAATACTAGAATTAAATAGCTTGTGTTAAAAATATTGTGTGATATCGAGAAATAGTGTTTCTGAATGTTTACAGATGTTCCGTCGCAATTATGGTAATAAGACAAATGGGGTCCACGAATACACGAAGATACAAATTTGGGATACTGATACAAGAAATGTTTTACAAGTGAGTTGTTTGACTTTAATGTTAATTTCGCTATAATTTGTTATTAGTTTTGTGAGATGTTAATTGTCACGTTTTAAGAAAAAAAAGACGCATGAAAAGAGGTTATATATTCCTTGTAAATAAAAACAAATCGCAACAATTGAACTTTGTGCGATTAAAAAACATATTACAAATATCGTTTAAACATTTTTCGCATATTGCCTTTATTTTGGATTAGATTGAATCGTACAGTGATAGATTATTCAAACGTTTCTGAACTGTTCAAAGATGTCATTTGTCAAGTACAAAATTGTCATCTCGGTTTTTTCGTGTGTCAAATTGACAGTGTATTTTCGTTGTTCTGTAGTTTGTGTCGTCTTTTCGGTGTTAAAATGTCTGTCGAAGCTTAAGCTCTTGGACATTTTGTTAAAGATGAAAAGTAGCCCCACTCGCAAATATGAGAATTTCTCCAACGACCATCAAGGAAAAGATACGGACAAGTATTCTCTAGACAGCCAGGATACTGCAAGTTTGGTTAGTAACTTGTTCAATTTATTGATTTTGTTTGTGTACCATTTCTAGTGTTATTGATTATTAGTTGGAAAGTCATAGTCATGGTAGTTTCATTGTATAATTAACATGAATACGGTGGCTGTATTATCGCTGTTATTTTTTTATTTTCGTATCATAAAAGCTAGTCGACGTAGTCATGTCGGCCTAGATTTTTCTAGTAAGATTTGAGTAACAAGTTGGAGGAACTATATCGGCGTATCGCAATCGACAGCGTCGTTAAAATTTTAAATAAGAAAATATTTTTGAAAAGAATTCGTAATGCATTCCAATGTGACTTCAAATATATGAACATTTCATAGTAATTCTTTCACTTTCACTACGACACGTGAAATACTTTTACTAATCGGTAGTTTCTGCATTTTTTTAATTACGTACCACAAATCTTTGTATTTCATTTGTTTTTAAATAGCCATTACTTTCTTTTTAGACTAATATTGAATGATGGCACATTTTACATACAGCATGAAGCCATGTGTACAAAATTAGAGTTTAAATTAGATTAGTTTGGTATTCAATTAAAAAAAAATAGATTTCATATACAATGCCTGTCTTGTGATTTCAGTGTTCTTGATCACAAATTAGTTTAATTTTTGTAAATATCTATAAGGCTTATATGACAAACTTTTAATATAATTTAACCCTAGGACCCTTAAATCTTCCCTATAGCTTGAGTATGTAATACTGTTAGAGGAAACAAATCTAAGCCATAGGAATAATTAATTCAGACTCCAACTAATAATTCCAGAAATATTTTGTTATGGACCAAAAATTTATGGAAAGAAACCTGTAAGCCAAAGTAAATTAAAGTTAATGACACCTGTCTCCAAATAAAAAAGGGTCTTGACAGACGGACGAACAACAAAGTGATCCTATAAGGGTTCCATATTTTTCCTATGAGGTATAGAACCCTAAAAAGGAGGTTTTTAGTGTGTCTGGGATTTTTCTTTATATAAAACCAGCTGTCTTCGGTAAACCGGACCATAACAAATTAAAAAAACTTAGTAGCCCACAGCTTCCAGACTATGTTCTATATCTGTGCCAAATTTTATCAAGATCCGTTGAGATACACTTTCTAACATCCATCCATACTTTTGTATTTATATTAATTTGCATTTATAATATTATTAAAGATAGTAAGATGGATAAAGAGTCATCACTTGACTTAATACTATCTGTTTATCATAAAAACTAATTGACTTATTGATAACACAATATTATATTACAAAATAGTGTTTTCTCTTTGTTTGATTAATGCCGTTGCTGATAATTCAATCGTATCATTAGGGTTCCGTACCTCGTAGGAAAAACCGAACCCTTATAGGATCACTTTGTTCTCCGTCTGTCCGTCTGTCAAGTCCTTTGGGGTATATTTATTTAATTTTATTATAATTGTGATTTAAAATTTATGAAATGAATAGCAGTGACATCACAAACCAATAACCATTACAAGAGATGAAATTCTCTAATCTTTTTTAAATTGTTTTGTGATTTCTTATTATTGAAAAATATCAAGGCATACCAAAACTTATGATCCGATTCAAAAGTTGAAATCACATAGACTTGAATCATTGAGCTGCAGCTTGACAACTAAATTGGGAGCTCACAGCTCATCGCGATGCTGCTGCCCGGTGCCTGGCAGTTTGCAGTTGTCAAAGACAAAACAAATAAAATTGAGTTGATCTGCAGGTCATCAATTTTTTGTTGAGTTATCCGTGACCACTATCGAGCGACATTCGTCTAGCGCTCAAAATGCAAAATGCGCCATAAAAAAGCGCCCGAGCGAGGGCTAATGGCACGCGTGTCATTAGTTTTGTCCTGCCAGGTCCTATCAACGATTCTTAATAGTATAATTGGTTACCGATGCCCTAAATAGCTTATTATTGTAAATTTCTACGTGACCATTTAATCTTATTTCGTCAGTTAGTAACTCAAAATTCAATTCATTCGATATTGAATGAAATAGCCTGATTTGATTACTTTTTTTATGACGTACACGTGTTAGGTGGGTATGTTAACACTTTTTGTGGTTGTGTTATAAAAATAATTGGTATCGGTTAACGTTAATGTTGTGGGTGCAATGACCCGATGTAGAATGTCGCTAAATAAATTTTACTTCATGCCCATCCCATGCTGTTTTTTTGCGACATTTTACGTAGTTATATTGGTAGTCAATATAAGGTTTAAAGAGTCTATAATGATTTTCATTGCGTTTTAAACACGAATCATATATGGGAAAAAAACACTATAAGAGATAAGAGACGTAGTAGTAAACTGTCTGAATGGGCTACATTAATGATGTACTGTACCCATAAACAAAACATTAATTAAAAAAATATTGGTGTTGACAACCGAGAGTGATGTGATAGGTTCTTACAGGATGGAATTCTTAAAATGCTGCATATCTGTTTCAAGAGTATATGCTTAAAGAAAAAAGTCTAAGTAACACTTCCCCCTTTCCCCCCCACTCGATATTAGGGTGAGCTGCGCACGGGCTTATTATGCGCTCAGTTCAAACGCTCATTACAGTCTGAGTGTTCGTGAGTGACGGATCGTTTAGTGATAAAATGCGACTAAAAAGACTTAAGGCGATCTTTTTTGCCAAGGTTGTAATTTTTATTTGCTTTACATTGAAGGTCAAAGTCAAGTTTAATAAGTATAATTGTTATTTCAGTTTTTTTTTAAATTAGTGAGATATTTTTCGCGGAATTTTGCTTTTAGTATTGTATTGCTTTTGCCGGCCCTATAAAATGTTTTGTGCTGAATTTGTAGCCTAGAATAGTTTAGTGGGATTTTTTTTAGTAAACCTATAATTTTTTTTTATTTTTGGTATTGAATGAACATTCTGGCCAGTTACAAAAATTAAAATAAATCTAATAGAATCTATGCTCTTACTATATGCAAGGCATTCTATTTATAATGCCTTATCGATTATAGTGCTCTAGTTTTTAACCTTGACATACAGATTCTGATTTCCGGTTTTCGAAACCCAGATACTATTTTCCAATAAAAAAAATACTCTGTATAGAAAGCGGCTATTAAATACTTTATATTTTATTGGAACCTTTTATTTTTTTTGTCCACGTTCTTTTATTTTGAACAGTATGTACTAGATATTGATAAGAAGACAATTTTTTTCTTTTTTTCCTGTTTGATTTGATTTACGCATTGTATATAAATAGAATATAGTTCATACATATGTGTATGTTGCGATGTTATAAATATAGCTTTCAAGTGAGAACTGACTAGGTAAACGACTGGTTAACTTCACTAATACCGATCTTTTCGCAACTTGACTAAAGTAGAACACCACCGTATTTAGTTAGTAACCTAATTCTTACCAGTGGAAACTTACGTTAAATATATTTTCGTGGATTTATTAGGATCTATTTTTGAATTAAAAAAATCGTTTACTTTTTTTTGGAATTTTCAATCAACCTGTATAACCTGTTAAACATTGCGCTAATTCCTTACGCCGTAGACTAAAGTCCTGTAGATTTTATAAAAACAGGGAATACGCAGCTGCGTTTCCTGCGTTTCTTTAAACGACTAGTTAAAACTTGTTTACTTGAGACATAGTTATGTGTTGCTTATTTTTATGGCTTTGGTATTTTATTAATTCAATGTACTGTACATTATTGTATACAGTATGTCCCTGTTTAGGGTTGCGAGCCTAACTTGAAGGGGAAATATTTATTTAGTAGAAAAATTTAGTACGTTAGGTCATTTTTTTACAAAATATGAAATAAAGTAGCTTAATAATTTAGATTGTGATCAGAGATGTTATTTTTTTATATCATAAGGTGGCAAACGAGCGAGCGGCCACCTGAAATCGCTGAAATAGCGAAGTGACCGTTGCCCATAGACATACGCATACGCATATGCGTTGCCTACCTTTAATCGACGGAGGATACACAGAAAGAAAATATGTTCCCTTTCCATGCATCCTCTCATCCGGAAAGTCCACTTCCACTTCCCATCCTTTCCTTATAAGAAAAAAGGTAGGAAGGGAAAGAGGACTAAATTAGGCCTCCGGGACGCACACTCATCAGACGAAACGCGGAATCTTCACGCCTATCTTCTGTATGGTCGTGGTATTTCACCGGGCGAACCGGGCCAATTCGTGCGAAGAAGTTAAAGCGGGCTCTACCACTGTTAGAATGTATTTGTTTTATAAGCAGATTTTGGTTTCAGAAACCTCCTGTTAATCGTTATATTTGTTTCTTTAGGTTATAGTTATTTATTTATTGGTATCTTAAGTATAAAATAATTATTTGAAACAATGTAATAATTTTTTATCAGACCAATTTATTTCCATGCATATGAAACAAGTGATAGGCATGCAACTGGAAGCATTATCAAATAATTAAAGAAATTAAAATTATCAACAGCAAACGTAAATGCTAATTAAAATAATGATTGCAGCAAATAAATATTTTAATGTTGCCATGTATTTATTATTTAATTTAAAAACGAAAATATTCGATTGGCTGTATCTATATAAATGGATAGGTCTTTGCTTATTATTAGTTCCTTTCTTCACCACCGATACCAGCGCCAAAATGGCGAAAATCAAATTGGCACGAAAATTCACAGTTTATACCCTATCCATGTATATAGTCAGTGAAGAGTCTACAGAATGTATCACATTTTTACATTAGCTATGATAATGCTGGGAATAATCTAAAACATGTCACTCTTTTAAAAAACAAGAGAAGATAAACAATACGTCAAGTGAATTAACTGACATTCACAATTTGGTGGTATATTTATGACATAGCACGAATAATTGTGGCACTCGCCTTCGTGACGTCATCAATAATTTGTGTTATAAATTTTATTAGATTGGTGTAGTCCACGCCCGGTAAGGACGCTTTTAGAAAAAGTTACTAACGAATATTCGTACTAGACCCTCAGAAGTATTAAGACGTTCATAATTATTTTCTACACAACTTAATTGATTACAGTATTGAATATTGTCAAAGATTTTAGTGAAATTATTTTATGATAGCCTTGCTTTAAAATGTAATTGGAAGTTACGTCCTCAGTCGTCCATTAAACGGGTACAATGCTTCACAAAGGTATACAGTTTTTAGGTCAATATTTTAAATGCACGACCTGAATTCGCATACTTTTCTGAATTAAACAGTAAAGCTATTGTCTATATGAATGTACTGACTAGAAGTACACCCTTCCAATTTCGGTCTAATATAGTGGTATAAGAAAAACTTAGGTCTACAATCTATATCTATATAAATAAATAAATTGTCTGTTTGTACTATCATATATGAATTACTTATAACAAAAACAAAATATATTTGCCTGTCTGCATGCCTGCTTTTGTTCTTAGCTGTATGTTTTCATACATTTTGCGCCCTTTGAGATTCAAGCAAATCTGTTGGCAACAACTAGTTTATTCCTTATCCCTTCACTTATAATGTAACAATCAAGCAGTACGTTTTTTATATCTTATATATAAAATTCTCGTGTCACAATTTTCGTTCTCATACTCCTTAGAAACGGCTTGACCGATTCTCATGAAATTTTGTGTGCATATTGAATAGGTCTGAGAATCGGCCAACATCTATTTTTTATCCCGCGCGGACCGAGTCGCGGGCGACAGCTAGTCTAATATATAAAATTCTCGTGTCACAATTTTCGTTTCCATACTCTTCCGAAACGGCTTGACCGATTCTCATGAAATTTTGTGAGCATATTGAGTAGGTCTGAGAATCGGCCAACATCTATTTTTAATACCGCGCGGACGGAGTCGCGAGCGACGTCTAGTCTTTTATAAATAACAATAAATGTTAGTACTTATAATGATTGGACCTCTTCGTTGTATTCTGACTATTCTCTTTCAGTTTTTGTTCCGCTTCGTCTTAAAAAAAACAATCGAACTATTCCGTTATATTGTCTGATGCCTATTGTGTAATCCTTTTGATTTTAAAGCAAGACCTTAAAAAACTAGTAAGTCTATAGCTAGATAAACGCTTTGTCCTAAATCAATTGAAGCGTTTCAGGAATATTATTTGGTTTTAAATTGTCCTCAGTACCAGGTACGGAAACATAACAGGAAACAAAACATACCAGGAACTCATAAATGATAAGGTTATAAAATAACAAATTAGAAGTTTCTCGCCTTTAATCCTTTAAAATAGGTCAATTTAAATAAGGTCAACTAATTAAAAAAATTTAAACCAAAGTTGTTTACGTAAATTGATTAATATTTATTTTATAAAGCAGATGAGTTTGTTTGTTTGTTTGTTTAAACGCGCTAAACTTAGGAGCTACTGGTCCGATTTGAAAAAAATTTTTTTTGTTGGATAGTCCATTTATAGAGGAAGGCTTAAGGCTATATGACATTTTGCTGTGACCAATAGTTTTTTTTTATTCCGCGCGGACACAGTCTCGGGCGACAGCTAGTTTACTATATTGATTCAAAAGTACATTTGTGTGTAGGTAAGAATGATAAAGTTAATTCGCTTATGAAATAACTCATAGAAGTCCTATTCAGTAACAAAAACTGTCACAAGTTCCTTATTGGCCTGTAGGTGTTTGGTGTTGTTTGTCATTTTCTATGCCTAAGTAAACACAATTCTGAAAGAAAATACGGAAAGTTTGGCTTACTAGCCGTGGGTTTCTGACTCCAAGATCTCATTTTAAAACATATTGTTTATCTCAGTGTTGTCAAATGACAAGGCTGACGATATGTTTTGTACAGAGATTTGTATGTCAGAAACCCACGGTATCTAACCTTACCTAATCTAGCTGCGATGATAGCGCCACTCTTTCAACGGATGTGATAAGTTTTAGCCAGATCCTGAATAGCGAGATGCCTTTAGATTCAATGTCGGTGTAAAATCCCTTTTCCACTACGCGTTTTAATAAGATTTCTAACTATTGTATTATTTGTTTAGCATTCGGAGGAGGGCGGGCGGCGCGGCGCGGACGTGAGCGCGGGCGCCGGCGACATGTGGATCAGCGCCGTCGAGAGCTCCATACTCGCCTGGGAGGAGGTACGTCTAAGCGTGGGTTTTTACTGCCGAAACACATGTATAAAAATATATTGTTATCTGTCTGCGACTGCGCAGTATTCCACCGTTATCAACAGGTGGTTGTCTCATCGCTAGACGTAGTGTCTGGACGAGATCAATGTCAAAATCATGTCTATCAAAGCAACAGGGTGTTCTCAGGTGTTCTATTTGGACAAGTTTACTTTCTTAACGTAGTTTTCTTTTTAATAGTAATAATATAAATAAATGAATGAAAATATAAATTTTTCAAATAATTTTCCGACGTCTTGTGTTTTTATCTACGAATATAAGGATAAATTCTAGAAATTACTGACAAAAATATTCAAAATGATTAACATCGTCTCGTCGCATATTAATCTTATTAAAATTTTTCACTCACTTTTTGTAGCTGATCGCATAATCTCGTATACAAATATACAGAAGCAAATAAAATATTAGTCAAGGTCACCATCACGTGGCAGCGAAAAGCATAAACCGTAACATTATATTGAAAATATGATGCAATAATTCAAGAACATTTAATTAATCTTAACATTACTATGGTTGTAATCTATACTTTATAATAAAGCGTAAACACACTTCTTTATAACCCAGTAGCTTAGCAATCGCGGCAAATAATTTTGAATAATTAATTAATAGGTAACGAGTTGATTAAGAAAATCTTAATCCGAGAAAGGAACATTGCAAGGCAATATTAGCAAAGTTGAATGGTTGCCATGGTAACGGTAGATCTCAGTCAATGACAATAAAGGTTATTGTCATTTGAGAATTTCTATCGTGTCCTTAACAGTGGTAGACCCCGCTGGAACATCTTACACGAATTGTCCCGACTCGCCCGGTGAAATACCACGACCACACAGAAGACAGGCGTTAATTGGAAGCAATTCCGCGTTTCGTCTGATGAGTGTGCGTCCCAGAGGCCTAATTTAGTCCTCTTTCCCTTCCCCTCTTTTTTCTTGTAAGGAAAGGATGGAAAGTGGAAGTGGACTTTCCGGAAGAGAGAATGCATGGGAAGGGAAAATATTTTCTTTCTGTGCATCCTCTCCTCCGTCGATTAAAGGTTTCAGCGTAAGAATAAGGTTAAAAGGTTCAGAGCTAAACATTACTGTTTTTACCAAAACCTACTGTAGATAAATAAAGAAAGTTTAACTCTCTGCATTTCCATGATATATCAGGTGAATGTCCATCATGTCTGCGATAACTGATAAAAGTATTGGAAGTCGTCGAAATAATTGAAGCGAACGAAAAAAAATCGCAATATACATTGCTATGTATATAATCTTGATAGATAAGAGCAAATCTCGATTTCCAATCTCATTTCTATATTGGATTTAATATTATAAGCATTATCATATGTAGTATTTAGTTGGCACGCCGGGCAGAACATTATTCTAGTTCCTGGCGTGTCAAATTAAATGGGTACATTGCGTAGTATTTGTGAATTACTTATTTATCTTGTTTTTTTAATGAAAAAGGTAAAGATTACCGATTAATTGTAGTTTTGAAAAGTAGACAATGCATACGCAATTGCGTATGTCTATGGGCAACGGTCACTTCGCTATATTAGCGATTTCAGGTACCCGCTCGCTCGTTTGCCACCTTACGATATATAAAAAATATCTCCAATTCTTCGTCGTAATTTTTGTTAAATATAACAGTAATTTATTGCGTTTCTTAACCGGTTCGAGTCGGTTGTCATTTGTATGGAGGTCAATAAACTTTCGCGTAATTTCCTTTGATAAATGTCAATTAATGATGTACCATGGGTGGCAATTGTTTTAATTGGCCTAATCGTATGAACATTCCTTTTTTTTGGACTAAAGAGTCGATTTTATAAATTCTTTCATTAAAAAGTAATGCCACAATATACCCGACTGGCGTAGGCTATATTTATTACTAGGTTTTTTAATCCCGCGCACACGAAGTCGCGGGAGGCTGCTAGTTAGTAATTACTAGTTGGTAAGTACATACGCGGTATTTATAATTTTTATTAAGTACGTAAAATGCTATTTTACAATACACAAAAGTCCTCCAAAGTTGATTTTATTATTATTTTCACAAGGTGTGAATTTATAGGCGATTGTGTAATCTTCCAGGTAGCATAAAATTTACAGACCACGAATATGACATCTATTGACACGTGTTTAACAATTATGTATATTTACAAACATTACAATTTTAGCAAGTATACGATTAATAGGAAAAGACTGCGCTATTACACTTCAAAGAACAAAGTGGATACCTACATTGTAAATGGAATACTCTGGTACAGATAGTTGGAATAACATAACTTTTTTATTTATGCACTAATTGAGATTAAACAAACACTAAATATTAAGTGAAGCTTACCACAATACAGTAGTGAATACGGTATATAAATCGGCTAAGCAGTTTCTAAAATTAAAGCACACAAACATACAGACAAATTGACAAAATCGATACAATAGTTGGTTTGAGATCTATATTGTTAAGTTCTATTTGTATTAATTTTATTCATTTAAAAGACAATTCTTAGCCTTGATATACAAAATTTAAGATTGTCTATAAGCTAAAGGCTTTGTTCATCTTATCAGATAATAGTGTTGGCCTATTTTCACCTAACATATTTGTCTGGTTTTTACGTGAATAAATGACACTAGTTTGACATGAAATAATATTTTGTTGACATTTAAATTGTCGAAGTTTTATGGCTAAATATATTTTTTTTAATTTAGGGCAAACTAACCTTGGGTTTCTAAGACCATAGTACCCTTCTAAACAAAGATAATGACGGGGATGACTATATATTTTATAGAGATTTTTGTCTTAGAAACCAACTGTAAGTCAGTCGTATGTTTAAATACATCATTAAAGTTAAGTTACAATATTGTAGATGTTTTATATATGACTGGCTCTTGCGACTTCGTCTTCCTAGAATTAAATAAAAAATAATATAGAGTAGTATTAGGAAGTTATGGTATTATCGTTTTAAAACAGTTTGAAGCGACCGTTTACAGCAATACAGCGCATATTGCAGGCCAGTTGTAAAGATCAATACATAGTGCCTGAAGTACGGACTCGGTAACGATTGACCCAATTTAAGACTGAAATGTTAATTTTAATGGAGTGCTTTTCTAGCAATCTTTTAGTAATTTGACTTGATAGACAATACTTCAATTGTTGTTTACTATACCAGTTGTAATTCAGTATTTTGTCACCAGGTGGCGGATCGTCTACACGTGGACGTCCGTCGCGGTCTGTCATGGCGGGAGGCTAACGACCGTATGAACTTTGTTGGCCCCAATGAGTTCCAAGTGAAGGAGGAGGACCCGCTCTGGAAGAAATACATCGAGCAGTTCCAGAATCCGCTCATTCTATTACTACTGGGTAAGTGTATGACAAATCAACTTTATAAAGTTGTAGTCGTACTATCTGGAAATTATAAAAGTATATTAGGTACATGATTAATCTTTGTCTAGTCTTACTGCTGGTATCTGAGATGAAAATCTCTGTTACAACATATCGTGATTCCTGCTTATCTTTGACGAAACAGAGATAACAATATGTTTTAAACGGGGATTTTGTTTTCAGAAACCCACGGTAATATTCCTGCATTTGTGTGTAATATAATATATTTAGTAACACGAATGTAAATTTTTAATGATTTGAATTATATTCGCTTAATATGTTTTGCAACAATACACAACTTCAATGATATTAGCGACTGTTAGGAAGAAAATTCAAAAATAAGTCAGTGTATTGGCACAACACTAGCCTTACTAAAATGTCGTTTATGTCCCCTCACTATTCTCTTGACACTGCACTTTGTAACGACAGCACGTCACTCGCGCCAAAGGATGCTTAATAATCTTATATATAAAATACTCTTGTCACAATTATCGTTCCCATACTCCTCCGAAACGGCTTGACCGATTCTCATTAAATTCTCTTGTCTGAGAATCGGCCAACATCTATTTTATAATCCCGCGCGGACGAAGTCGCGGGCGACTGCTAGTAATGTCTAAAATAACTTAATTTAGTATTGGAGTTGTTTTTTACTAAAACATTTTTACACTGTACAAAATGAAGACTACACAATGTTGTTTTTGTATGCAGATCACATACAGTACGAAGTAAAAGCGAAAGACCTAAATTTTTCGCCAACTTCGTGTATTGTTTAAACACATGTCAAATAAAATATATATATTTTTAGATGAATATAGGCCGTCGTCCGCGACTCCGTCTATGCGTGATTAAAATATAGTTCGTAACAGATTCTCAGACTTACTGAATATGCATATAAAATTACATAAAAATCGATAAAACCGTTTCGGGGGATGGTAACTAACATTGTGACACCAGAATTTTATATAAGACTAGCTGTCGCCCGCGACTCCGTCCGCGTTTGTCTAAACAATATAAAATAAAAAATTTAGGGGTTGACTACCCTTAACATTTAGGGGGATGAAAAATAGTTGTTGGCCGATTTTCAGACCTACTCAATATGCTCACAAAATTTCATGAGAATCGGTCAAGCCGTTTCGGAGGAGTATGAGAACGAAAATTGTGACACGAGAATTTTATATATAACATTATTCATAACAACATAAAGTTATGTCTTTAAATTAATATAACCAACATCTTTGTTCCTTGCTAAAGCAGTAAAACGCAAACAATTGGATAACACAAACAACTTAAACAATATTATTTACCTGGTAGTTTTTTTTTCGAAGCCAATGAACCCGTGACCGGACTTGTTATGCAAAAAGTGGCCATAGACCGAAATAACAAGCTTAGTCTACATACTATTGTATTATAAAATTCAAACAATATAACGGGACATATCCCGTCTCCTGAACGGAACTAACTATAGTTAGGCCTACTCCACGTTCCCATCCCCTCCATTCCTTATAAAGAAATAATGGAAGGGGAAGAAGAGTTGACGAAGGACGGAACGCATAAAAAGGGGGAAATATCCTCTTTCTGCACGTCCCTTCATCCCTTGATTGAAGGTAGGAACGCCTCTGCAATTGCAAACGTCCATGAACAGCGGTCGTTTCGCTATTTCGGCGAATTTAGGTGTCCGCCTGCTCGTTTTTCAACTTTGCTCAGGGTAAAATTAGTTAAGGCGGATTATGTCCTTTGCTCCAAGCTGATACCTAAAATTGTGTACTACAAAGCGTCACGTGCGATATACTGATGTTTTATAAAGTTTGAATAGTACTGTATACATAGCTGTTTGAAATAAAGCCAAGTGTACACGACAAGCGTTCATGTAGCGATATTTATGCTAATTTTGATAAGATATTCATGAAACAGTAGACGGTAAATTGTACACGAACGTGAGGATTACTGGATTATGTTATAACAGTATATTGTTGTTTATGTATTTAACCTAGACATAGATTTGTAACAAGTAATTTCAGTCTAGAATAATTGGTTTAGAATTGTTTCTTACGAGAATGTAGTTAAACATATCTTTTACATCATTTTAAACAAGTAATAAAAATCTTGGGAAGAAAACGAATCGAATAAGTTACATTTTTTTCTAAGTATTGAAACTGCACTCGGTCACATTGGGATACTTGCTACACGCAGAAGTCTTGTGATATTATCGTCAACTAGCTGTCGACCGCGACTCCGTCCGCGCGGTATTAAAAATAGATGTTGGCCGGTTCGCAGGCCTACTCAATATACTCACAAAATTTCATGAGAATTGGTCAAGCCGTTTCGGAGGAGTATGGGAACGAAAATTGTGACACGAGAATTTTATATATAAGACTAGCTGTAGCCCGCGACTCTGTCCGCGTGGGATTAAAAATAGATGTTGGCCGATTCTCAGATCTACTCAATATGCTCACAAAAATTCATGAGAATCGGTCAAGTCGTTTCGGAGGAGTATGGATACGAAAATTGTGACACGAGAATTTTATATATAAGATTTAAATTCCATTTAATTTTCGTTAATAATTCAACATGTCAAAGAGGACATCGCGGTTCGATAGTTTTATTAAACTTCGATTCAAGTGCATTTGAGGTCACCTTGACGACATCATTTTTTAAATTATTAATTGAATAGATTCGTACAAAAATCGAACCGAAACATATGGTACCTTTTTACCAGACCAAAGAAAGTATGGATGGATTGTGTGAAAGAGGATATGCGTAAGAAGGGATGAATTCAGATATGATAGCTGATAGAGATGTATGGAGGATTAGGACTGCGCTGACCTTCTGTAGGGACAAGGGCAGGTTGGTGATGATGATGATTGAGAGTCATGGAAATATAATTTTTGTACAGATATTTCGGTAATGGAAACGCTAAAATTTTAATTCTAATAATGTTCTACTCAAGTCAATCAGATGTTACGTGCTCAAACGAGTGACCTTAAAGCCGACTTAAGCCGTAATAATTTGCGATGTCATGTTTCGCTTTGTTTAGAACAAGGCTATCTTTACGTTATATTTTGTAGTATTACATGCTATTTATAATTTTTTATTTATTTATATTTATGCGTCAACTAGCTGTCGCCTGTGACTCCGTACGCGCGGAATATCAAAAAAAATAATTAGTAGTCTATGTGTGGTGGTGATACATATTTATGGTGAAATTAACCACTTTGATGTCCCTATTATCCTTCGCCGGCGTTCAAAGGGTTAAAATACGTGTTTTATTATACAGTGTTTAACTATATTTTTTAGGGTAATCTTACTAATATTATAAATGGGAATGTTTAGATGGATTGATGTTTGAAGGTATCTCTGGAACGATTGAACGGATCTCGATGTAATTTGGCATACATATAGAACATAGTCTGGAAGAACACACTACGTTTTTTTTTTAATTCCCCTCGGATGGAGTCGCGGGCTATTACATTATATATTTACAACTTGCACACGAAACTAAGATATAAAATGTTGAAACGAACCTTAAGAATTCTAGACCTTATGTTGAAAAGGTTTCTTTAACTGATGTAAAAGGTAGGATCCTTTTATACTAAGACCTAGTTCTATAGAACGTTTTAAGGTCAGTGAACGCAGGTGCTGAATTTCAGTTGTAAAGTATGTGAACATATACTTGAATAGTTAATGTAAAGTGATGTTATGTATTAAACAAAGTAGAGTAAATAGCGAGGGAGCATTTGTTGAAGCAGGTGTTTTATACATAGAATGTCTATGTAAATCTTACTTCTTACTTATATAAATGTGAATGTTTGGATGGATGGATGTTTGTTCGAAGGTATATTCAGAACGGCTCAACAGATGTAGAATATTGTCTTGAAGAACAGGTAGGCTACTTTTTAAGTTCGCGGGCGAACGAATGTTTAGATGGATGGATAGATGGTTGTATGGACGGATCTTTAATAGTATATCCATAACGGGTCAACGGATTTTGATGAAATTTCACATTTAGATGTAGTACATAGTCTGGGAGAACACAGGTTATTAAGTTTTTTTTTTAATTCTGCTCAGAGATTGTCGCGGGCGATAATTATTAAGTAATACATATATTCAAACAATTTTTATTTTTTTGCCTAAGTGTCAAATTACCAAGGTATAGCATTATATACTTTTTATAAATGAGTGGTATCTTGCACTTGACAAGGTTATTGTCAAGGATAAAGTTTTTAAACATAAATTATATTGTTTCAAATTACACAAAATTGTACTTTTTTATGTTTAGTTTTTGTCGACCTTAATTATAGATATCCTGAATAGCGTAGATATGCAGGTAAACAGTTTAACGAGCTGTGATTGACATGAAAATAATATCTCACGGTAGGTAACATTGAATAGAACTAACAATCAGATAAATACAGTAATACACGTACTAGTTTTTGTTAATATCTTATACTAGCTGTTGCCCGCGACTCCGTCCGCGCGATATTAGACTTAACAAGTAGCTTATGTTAACTTATGTAAAAACGTCTAAAACACCCACGTATGTTCGTCCGGTGGCGGTCCGGACGCGAAGTAATACCCTTATGAAGGGACCCCGATGGGCTCGAAACTAGTCGGTGCCGCCACCGGACGAATATACGTCAGTTTTTAGCCGTTTTTATATAAGTTTATTATAATGTCTTACGAAAGTTTCAATAATTTAAGTAGTTTATGTGTTCCACACTATGGTTGAACACTTGTTTTGACACAATATTTCAAATCGATTATTGAATACAGTTTGGGTTCATTATTCATACATTTGTGTATGTATTTAACACATCTGTACGTATGGTATTGAACAAATAGAAAAAGTCGATTACCTGTTATGTAGCATGAACTTAACATAGAACCTTTAATTTTATAGATGTATTATTTTAAGAAATATTCAAATACTCTCTCTCTCTCTCTCTTTCACTCTCTTTCTCTCTCTCTCTCTTTCTTTCTTTGTCCCTCTCTCTCTCTTCAACCATATGACGCTCACAACTAAGCAAAGGTCTCCCCAACGATCGCTACAATGATCGATCCTTTGCGTGTAGACGCATCCAGGATATTCCAGCAACCTTGTCCAGATAGGTCCATGTTGAGGGAGGTCAATACTGATTGAATGAAATTATTATTTTTGTCACATTAACAGTCATATAAGTCATGTGAAAAACTTAATTTATTAAGTATTTTCAGCGTGAAACTAACTCTTTCATACATACTACTAACATATCTCTCTCTGTCCCCAGGGTCTGCGGTGGTGAGCGTATGCATGCGTCAGTTTGACGACGCGACATCCATTACTGTGGCCATCATCATCGTGGTTACTGTCGCCTTTGTCCAGGAGTATCGCTCGGAGAAGTCTCTGGAGGAACTCAACAAGCTCGTCCCGCCGACATGCAATTGGTAATATTTTTAATATGAATATTGAAATCTATCTTTTTTATTTTTTTAAAATATTAGCAGATTTTTGGTAAATTTACTAATATTTCTTTTACCATTCCAACTAAACTTGTGCTAGGATATGGTTTACGACTTTTGTCGTATGGCGGGATTCGAACGCCCGACCTCGTGATCGGTAATCCGTGCCCATAACCATTAGGCTATTGACGCTTGTTTATCTATAGCCCGCGACTTCCTGCATGCATTAGTAAAAAAACTTAATTTGTAGCCTATGTGCTTGTGACTATGTTCTACATGTATGCCAAATTTCAGCAAGATGTAGCCGTACTAGAGATACTTTCGAACAAACATCCATCCATCCTAAACGTTCGGATTTATAACATTTGACTTGGAGGATAAACATGCAGTTTTTATTCACATCTCAACGGTCCCTACGTAAACATAAGTAACTACTAAGGCAGATTTTATACGAACAAGTAAAATCTAACGTAACAGTAGTGTGTATATCGGTTCGAAAAATGTATTAATTTGACATTTTACTATACAAATAAATACCCGAGAATTTTTTTAAACTCGCTTTACTATTCATAGCCAAAGTAATCGAAATGCAATGGAAAGTAATTGTCGATTGTGTATATGGCACTTTCGCCGCGTGCGCGAGCGCAGGCGAATGCACTTTGATGACGTCATATATCAGCTGATTGAAATGTCAACGTTTTTTATAACATATTTTTATAGTTTCAATTTGTAAGAAAAAACTATAGTTTAAAGTTTTCCACATGTAACTTAATATAAAAAAATGTTTTTTCAATTTTTCTTTTTTAAATCATCATCAGCTCACTATATGATCCTACCGAGGGACTCGGAGCTTAACCTAAGTTAGGGTGACTAGGCCATAGTCAACCACGCTGGCCAAGTGCGGGTTGACTTCACACATATCTTTGAATTTCTTCTCAGATATGTGCAGCATCACGATGTTTTCCTTCACCGTAACAACGTCTGATAAATGTACATATGTAAATCTAAAATGGAAAAAATACACTGGTATATGATGGGATTCGAACCCAGGACCTGCAGATTGCAAGTCAAGTGCTTTAACCCCTGAGCCACTGACGTCTCTTTACTTTAAATAAAACAACAATTTATTTTGATAAAATTAAATAAATGTCTAGGCAGTACATTCTGAAATCTTTCATATTAATAATTGTTATGTGGCAGTTGCAGTTACAACTAATAAAGGTTATTTTCTGAAAAACATACCGTATATTACTACAGGGTGTTTACAGTCAAACCTAGATAATCGAGAACCTAAGTTTAAAAAGTTTTCTCTCTAACCTGAATTTCTCTCTTATGGAATTCCTTCTAATGACTCACCTTTATAAAAATTCCTCGCTTTTCCCGGTTCGATTATAATTAAATAGCTAATGAAGTTAGTCATTTTACTAGTAGACCGCTACGGAATATTCCAGTTAAAAGTTAAACATGTGCTACAGATGTTAAACTTTTTAATTGGCTGCACGTAGAGGTTGCGGTGTCGTAGACGTCGCGTAGATGTTTGTTTTGCTAACAACTCTATCGTAGAGTTCGCTAAACTTACCTTAGAAATAACTAAGTATGCCGTTAATGCTTCGCTTAGTTAAGTGTCTATAGGTAAATACTAGTTTTTGCGATTCCGTGTGCGGAATTTATAAAAAAAAATAATTAGTAGCCTCTGTGTTCCTCCAGACTATGCCAAATTTCAGCGAGATTTGTTCAGCAGTTCTGGAGATATCTAATAACATCCATCTAAACATTCGCATTCATAATAATAGTAAAACAATAAGAAGTAAGAATATATATGTTTTTCACAGTCTGCGAGAGGGCAGTATCGAGCATTTTCTCGCTCGGAATCTAGTACCCGGGGATATAGTCCATCTGAATGTTGGAGACAGAGTGCCTGCTGATCTTCGACTATTCGAATCCACTGACTTGGCTATAGATGAATCATCGTTCACGGGAGAAACAGAACCCGCGGTGAAGACAGTTCTGCCCAACAAAGCTGCCGGTGGGAGAGTGAACAAGGATAATATTGCGTTTATGGGGACATTAGTACGATGTGGTAATGCTAAGGTAAGCATATAACTTGAATTATATGTTATAGTACAAATCTTAATACTAAACTTGTATAAAAACGGCTAAACACTGACGTATATTCATCCGGTGGCGGCACCGACTAGTTTCGAGCCAATCGGGGGCCCTTCATCTAACTAGTCGGTGCCACCGGAAGAATATACGTGAGTGTTTTAGCCGTTTTTATATAAGTTTATTATAATGTCTCATGAAAGTTTAATGAATTGTCATCTTAACGATTTAATTAATCTTAATGTAAATAATAGCAGTTGTGTGTTAACTTAGAAAAATCTAGCCTATCGCAAATATACAGTCTATAAGACTCGCGGATAGTGTAGCTTCCCAACAGTGATTTTTTTTAAATCGATTCAGTAGTTTCGGGGCCTAATAATATAAATATATAGATAACATACTTATATATTTTACTAGCTGTCAGCCGCGACTCCGTCCTCGTTGTTTTATACGTATGCCAAAATTAAACGATATCTGTTCAGCCGTTCTAGATATATCTTCAAACACCCATCCATCCATCCACATCACATCCATCTAAACATTCGCATTTATAATATTAGTAAGTTAAATAAAAAGCAGTTCTTCAAGACATAAATTCGGAAAGAAATGAATAAATAGTATCCTATGTCCGTCTCCTGGCTCTTAGCTATATCCTCACAAATTTTCAGGCATATCGGTAAAGCCGTTCTTGAGTTATAAATAGTGTAACTAACGCCACTTTTTTTTATATATATATTTTTTTTATATCAAAAGGTGGCAAACGAGCGTGCGGTCACCTGAAATCACTGAAATAGCGAAGTGACCGTTGCCCATAGACATACGCAATTGCATATGCGTTGCCTACCTTTAATCGACGGAGGAGAGGATGCACACAAAGAAAATATCTTCCATTTCCATGCATCCTCTCATCCGGAAAGTCTACTTTCACTTCCCATCCTTGCCTTATAAAGAAAAGGATGGGAAGGGAAAGAGGACTAAATTAGGCCTCCGGGACGCACACTCATCAGACTGCACGCGGAATTGCATACACTTGACGCCTGTCTTCTGTGTGGTCGTGGCATTTCACCGGGCGAGCCGGGCCAATTCGTGCGAAGATGTTAAAGCGGGCTCTACCACTGTTATAGATGTATATATATAGATTTATTATTTATTTATTTTATTTATTTATTAACTCTTAATGCTAACATAATACATAACAAAAAAGACAATTAACTAATTTACAAAGCAAGGGCGGCCTTATCGCTACAAGCGATCTCTTCCAGGCAACCCAGTGGGACAGGAAAGAATAACATAGAAAGAGGGATATATAACATATAAATATCAGGATATGTCAAGAATAAATAAATAAGAGCAAGAATTATTAATAATATATAAATATATACTAGTTACATATAGATATACTAAACAAATTAAGCAACATAAATATACAATATACATGAATACACTAACCTATGAATACAAATATATAAATTATAGGAAAGCAGAAGATTATGATATAAAGATTTATGTACTTTTATATTTTTAATAATGTTTGATTAGCGATTTATTATATATAATTTGCATAATATACCCGAAATTTTTCAAACAATAGTTTCTTGTTGGAACAATGAGATGTTTTAATTCTAGTTTCCTTGTGCACACAATGGATGCTGTTTTAAAATTATTAAAACAAATCTAGACCATGGCTCCTAGGATAGATTTAAAAATACAATTTTATTATTAGAGAGCATGTTTCTATTTTAGAATATCTGTTTGTCTTGGTTTGAAAACTCATTTAAATAAATGATAGCTAATAAAAAAAAAACATTAGGGAAAGAATTTTTAAAATCGATTCGTTATTTATTCGGAAGATGAAAATGAAAAAAAACTTTATTGTTATACACAAGAAAATTCAAAATTCAATGTTGCCTCGGCTCCTTAACTAGGAAGACCTGTACTTAAGGAGCGAAGGACTTCCCATACATATAAATTTAATAATTGTTTGTGTAGAAAAACAACTAATTTATGAATTAATAATTATAGTGTGTGTGTGTGTGTGTGATTATGTGTAAATGTGTGTATGTGTATATTTATAAGTGAATATGGATGTGATGACTTAGTTATTAGATAGTCAATCAGTTTTTAAATGTTAAAATATTAGCAGATTTTTGTTAATTTACTATTCCAACTAAGCTCTATGCTTGTGCTAGGATATGGTTTACGACAGTAGTCCAATGGCGGAATTCGAAACCCCGACATCGTGGAATTCCGCACCTTTAACCAATTAGGCTATTGATGCGTTGTTAAAAGCGAAGATTTAAAATCTAACGAAGGTACATTATTAAGAGTGAAACCACATGAGTGCTGCATTTTCGCAAAACCAATTGCAGTTCACACATCTCTAGTGATGTGGCATATCTCTTAACCAATATCTTCCATCTTCCATCCAGGGCATCGTGGTGAGTACTGGAGAACGATCTGAATTCGGTGACATCTTCCGCATGATGCAAGCGGAGGAAGCTCCGAAGACGCCGCTGCAGAAGTCCATGGATACCCTGGGGGCGCAGCTGTCGATGTATTCCTTCTGCATCATCGGCTTCATCATGGTGGCGGGCTGGCTGCAGGGCAAGGCTATACAGGATATGTTCACCATAGGAGTCAGCTTGGCCGTCGCTGCTATTCCTGAAGGTACTACAGAAAACTAGCTGTTCGAACCGGTTATAAGCAACACTAGGTTTTTTGCCCGCGACTTGGTATTTTTAGACATAACTAGTTGTCGCCCACGACTATCGTCGTGGAATGAAAAAACACTTAATTAATTCCCGGTAATTATTCGAATTTTTCTCACCTTTTAAACCTTCTCTAGACCTCCACATTTCAAGACCAAGATAAGATAAATCCGTTCAGCCGTTCTCGAGTTTTAGCGAGACTAACTAACAGCAATTGATTTTTATATATATAGATATAGAATCAATTAGAGCGAAGCGCGCTTTCGTTACAAAGTCAAATGTCAGAATGATTAGTGAGGGGACATAAACGTCGATATTTTAGTAAGGCTAGTGTTGTGTCAGGTAGCTGATGATGATATTGTAGCATTGTAATATAGTACCTGGATGACCGAGCTTTGCTCTGTATTTTTTTTTTATATCATAAGATGGCAAACGAGCGAGCGGCCACATGAAATCGCTGAAATAGCGAAGTGACCGTTGTCCATAGACATACGCAATTGCATATGCGTTGCCTACATTTAATCGACGGAGGAGAGGATGCACAGAAAGGAAATATTTCCATACATCCTCTCATCCGGAAAGTCCACTTCCACTTCCCATCCTTTCCTTATAAGAAACAGGGTGGGAAGGGAAAGAGGATTAAATTAGGCTTCCGGGACGCACACTCATCAGACTGTTGACTTGAGGCCTGTCTTCTGTGTGGTCGTGGTATATCACCGGGCGAGCCGGGACAATTCCTGCGAACATGTTAAAGCGGGCTCTACCATTGTAGCATTTTAATACATAAGTTTTTATAAAAGTGTGCTTCATGTTCTCTGGCTTTATATACAATGGAATAATCTCATAAATGTATTTATATTCAATCTCATTGTCTACAATATGAATGTCAAATACTATAATGTGAACTGTTTGATGAACATTGACAATATTCAGATATTGTAACTACCCTTGTTTATAAACTTTGCTTAGAGTTGAATCTATTTTGCAATATTATGTTATACAATGCAATGGATGGATTCAAATCCTGTATATATAACTATATATCTTATATTTAAATGAGCAGTTCTTGTATATATATGATTGTAATCTCGGAATCGGCTCCAACAATTTTCATAAAATTTAGTATATAGGTGGTTTCGGGGGCGATAAATCGATCTAGCTAGGAATCATTTTTAGAAAATGTCATTTTATTCGTGTTTTATCGATAATCAACTTAACACAAACTTAACTTTTTCTATCGGTATTATCGAAAAATATTATTCATATTTCATCATTTTATTAGTAATTCGTACTTAAATGTAATTTCCAAAAAACACAATAAAAAAAATACCGAGCAAAGCTCATCCAGATTTTATAGGTTAAATCAAATAACAATAACAATTTATTTTTTAATATATGTTGTTACAATACTTGGTCTAAATGTGGGTTTTTGATACCAAAATAACTCTATAAAACCTCATCATTACTATCATTGTTTTAGATAAAATAGTAATATGTTTTTATAGGGCGTTTTGGTGTCGGAAACCCAACATAATTGTATTGTGAATTTAAAAGACTTTTAACTGAAATGGGTAGGAAATTAACGTGTACTATTCAATTAGGTTTACCTATCGTGGTGACTGTCACGCTGGCGTTGGGTGTCATGAGGATGGCAAAACGTAACGCCATTGTGAAGAAACTGCCAACTGTTGAAACTCTGGGCTGCGTCAATGTCATATGCAGCGATAAAACTGGTAAGTTTAGAAACAAGTTTTAGGTAAATTACTAATGTATTGTTGGTTTCTGAGACCAAATTCTCTGTATGAAACATATCTTCATACTTCTCTATCTATAAGAAAACAGAGAACATACGGGAATTTTGGTCCCAGAAACAAATTAACAGTAATATAAGTATTATTAAAAAGAAGTTGTTCGAAAAAACCTATTTTTCTAGATTTAAAACAACGCCATCTGTTGATTGTTTAAAAACCACATTTAAAATTAAGTATTGTTAACAGCGCCATCTATATTTAAAATTACAACTTATTATAAATGTGAAAACAACGCCATCTAGTTATTTTAAAACACTTGTTTACTTATAGGTACATTAACAAAGAACGAGATGACAGTGACGATGGTGTCGACGTCAGGCGGGCACCTGGCGGAGGTGTCGGGCGCGGGGTACAACGCGCGCGGGGAGCTGTCGCTGCGCGCGTACAAGGGACGCGATCTGGATGTCGCTAGGATGGCAGTGCAGACCATGCTTGAGGTCATTTATGACACATCTAGAACTTCTACACTCGTCGTAAATAAATTTCCAAACTGGCAATTAGTCGAAAAACACGCAGTTTTAGTCTTTCCTTTTAATTAGTAGCATATTGATTAATAATTTTAATTATCTATCCCTAATATTATAAATGCCAAAATTAAATGGATTAATGGATGTTTTTAAAAGTATCTTGGTAAAATTTTACACAGATGTAGAACATAGCCTGGAAGAACACAGACTTCTTAATAAGTGTTTTCTTCTAATTCTAATGAAATAAGCAATAATGACAGGCAGTATACAAAGTAAATATATGCAGGTGGGCGTGCTGTGCAACAACGCGGAGATCCGGGACGAGACGCTGTACGGTCAGCCGACAGAGGGCGCGCTGCTCGCCGCCGCCATGAAGAACGACTCGCACCACGTGCGCGACCGATACACCAGGCTGCATGAAATACCATTCAGGTCACTACAACCTCATGCACATTTTTTTCATAATTAAAGTGGGGAAACGACCAACAGGAACACATCTGTTCAACGATGCCCATGGACATTTGCAATGAAACCGCAGATGTCGGTCTTTGAAAAGGTGATAATGATCATCTTGAAGGTTCTAAAGGAGCATGATGTACTTTCACCATATTTATTCATAGGAATTGATGTATATAAATACATATGGATAGAACGCTGTTTGGAAATGATGCATCGTTTTGACTTAAAAGATCCATTCGAAGTTATTTTCTTAATATGTAAATTGCCTGATTATTTTGTTTGAATTTCCAACTTATTTGGTTCAAAGTGATGAGGATCAAATAGGCACAAAATATCACGACTTATAGCCTGTCCAGTACTTAAAAATCGCAATACTAAAATATAAACTATTGACATTTTTAAAAGACATAGTTCTTTGTCGTATCTTAAATCGTATGAACAAATGATTCATCAAACTTCTCAAATGACACAATTTAAAAAAGTATGACACCTCTGTATATCAATACTTTCATTTTAATATTATAATATTTTTATATGTGTATAGTTCAGAGACGAAGATGATGGTGGTAAAGTGCGGGCCCAAGTTCAAGGACAGCTCGGTGAAGGAGGAGGTGTTTGTGAAGGGTGCCATAGAGAAGGTGTTACCACTGTGCACGCACTACGTCGACAGCGCCGGCAACTACGCGCCCATGACCAGAGACAAGCAGAACGACTTCCTCTCAGAGGCTTACAATATCGGACGGACAGGTAACTTTAGAAAACAAAGAAACTAGTTGTCGCCCACGACTATGCCCATGTCTTCTTCCAGACTATGTTCTACATCTATAAAAAATTTCATCAAGATCCATGCAACCGTCCTGGAGATATATTCTAACGAATCCATCGTGGATGTATGAATGGAGAGGAAGCTAGAGAAGTCAGGTCCTCGGTGTCTGCCTACCCCTCTGTGTGACGGAGTAAATGTGTGTCCAGGTCTGCGTGTGATAGCGCTGGGTCGGGGCGAGAGCATGGACTCGCTGATGTACACGGGGGTGTGCGGGGTGTGCGACCCGCCGCGCCCCGGCGTGCGCGACGCGGTCGCGACGCTGCGTCGTGCCGGTGTCGACGTCAAGATGGTCACCGGGGATGCCAGGCCTACGGCACTCGCTGTCGGTCAGTATACCACACACACACACACCTCTATAAATAGACCGGCCATGAGACCTTGTATTTTGTGCCTAATTGATTTTCGTCATATTGACGCTATTTTTTTAACTATATACAAATTAAAGTAATTGTTTTTGTAACGATAGAAAGGAAATTTTAACAGTGATAGAGCGAGCTTTAACATGTTCGCAGGAATTGTCCCGACTCGCCCGGTGATATACCACGACCACACAGAAGACACGCCTCAAGTGAACAGTCTGATGAGTGTGCGTCCCGGAGGCATAATTTAATTCTCTTTCCCTTCCCACCTTTTTTCTTATAAAGAAAGGATGGGTACTGGAAGTGGACTTTCCGAATGAGAAAATGCATGGAAAGGGAATATATTTTCTTTCTGTGCATCCTCACCTCCGTCGATGAAAGGTAGGCAACGCATATGCAATTGCGTATGTCTATGGGCAGCAGTCACTTCGCTATTTCAGCGATTTCAGGTGACCGCTCGCTCGTTTGCCTTGTTTGTTAGTCTAATACATATTCATGTTTGATCATTAATCGTATTAATAATGTGTGTTGCAAAATTTGCAATTTAAACATAGAATAGTTTACGTAGGAGCCGTCGGAATGTTTTTAACAAGTAAAATGAATAATTACAGCTCAGATGATCGGTCTGGATGTGTTACACTCACAATCCCTGTCCGGCGACCAGCTGGATGCTATGCCTGATGAAGACCTGGACAGGATCATTGAAACTGTACGTATTATAAAATATAACAGAGTAAACGTTGCTAATATTGTTCAACAAGGATCTTATAGCAGTTTGAAAATATGTTAATAAACGGTGTCATATTGACAGCGTCATTTTGACGAATGAGGATCACGGATTAATGTTGCCGTTTTTATAATTTCGATATTTCATAAATATCACGCATGTCACGTCGTGTAATTTGCTGATATATTTGTATGTATAAATTTAAATACTAAGGAATTACGAGTACTAAGGTAATAAATTGCAAATCAATTGCTTTGAGTCATAGACAACTTTTGATATAATTTGGATAATTTATGCTCTCTGGCAACACCTAAAGAAGCTATAAGATCCGTCTACTACATTCAAATTTATCAGTAAGGGAGATGCTCAGTGTCATCTTATTGATTCTGAGTGTAAAGTCTACACTAATAGCAAAAGCAATTGTTAAATATTTGAAGGTGACAATGTTTTATTATTTTAGGTGAGCGTGTTCTACCGCGTGACTCCGAAACATAAGCTGTCCATAGTTAAATCTCTACAACGACGTGGCAACATCGTCGGCATGACAGGTAACTGAATTTAATATAAAAATGGGTCATAACAGACAGACGGACGGACAACAAAGTGATCCTATAAGTGTACCGTTTTTTTCCTATGAGGTACGGAACCCTAAAAAAGTCAATTACAAACCGACAAGTCTATCTGCAGTTGGCATAAGTCAAATAAAATTATGACAGCTCACTAGCGACCCCTAGCGATAAACGTAGACGTTTTAATAAGGCTAGTGTTGCCAGTACACCGGCAGTGTCGAACCCAGGACTGCAGTCAAGTGCTTAACTCCTGAGCCACTAGTAGAATAGTAGTTAAATAATTAAGCTTTTTCTCCTTATTGTATTTTCGTTTTTAATACTTTTTAATACTATTCGTATGTAACATAATTATGTTCTCCAGGTGACGGTGTCAATGACGGTGTGGCATTGAAACGTGCTGACATCGGTATTGCTATGGGACGTAATGGCACCGACGTGTGCAAGGAGGCTGCCGATATGATCTTAGTAGATGATGACTTCGCTACCATCATGTGAGTAGACAACACAATCATACATACAAAGTGGCACGCACTTTTACGTACGTATACGTAATTACGTGCACATGTACGGATGAAAAATTTAATGTATACATTTTTAATTAATTGTCAATAAGTGGTTATTTCTTTATATTTGTAAATGTACACTAAGAGACACTCTTAATTATAAATTAACGTTTGCGAGTGCAGCAGTTAAATTACACTCAATGTTACCTTCATAGGTGGGTCGTGAATTAGATTCCTTGACTGGTAACCCACAATAATTTTAATTTCATTAAATTCCAAATGTAAAATGAGTCACAGGCTGAGTCACATAAACGTGACTAGTTGTAACAAGGACGGGTCAAAAGACCTTGAAATTCATGTATTCACGTGACGTAATGTATGGATAGCCACGAATTACTCTTGACTAGTTGTTGCCCGCGACTCCTTCCACGCAATAAAAAAAAGTTCTGTAGATATCTTCAAACATACATTCAGATATTCGCATTTATAATATTAGTAAGATTTGTAACAATGTGTTGTGTATGTTTCCAGTTGTGCGATAGAGGAGGGCAAGTGCATATTCTACAACATCAGGAACTTCGTGCGCTTCCAGCTGTCCACCTCCATCGCGGCGCTCTCCCTCATCGCGCTCGCCACGCTCATGTCCATACCCAACCCGCTCAATGCCATGCAGATATTGTGGATCAATATCATCATGGATGGTCACTATACATCTTTAATACTCTTATTGTTATACCTGTAGTCCGCGACTTCCTTCGCAAAGTGTTAAAATAGAGTCTTGACAGATGGACAGCAAAATGATCATATAATTGTTCCGTGGCTTTCCTTCTGAAGTACGGAACCCTAAAAAAACTTACAAAGTAGACTATGTTCTATATCTATGCTAAATTTCTTTGATATCAGTTGAGTCATTTGAACATTTGCATTTATAATATTAGTAAGATATGATCACGTGACATTTTAAAAGTTGGTTTATTTTATGAAGCATATCTCAGACTCAATGCCTGGTTTTCACTAAGCCAGTAAAGTGAAGTATAATCTGTACGCAGGTCCCCCGGCGCAGTCTCTGGGCGTGGAGCCAGTGGACCACGAGGTGGTGCGGCGAAGACCTCGCGACACCACCCGCCGCATCATCTCGCGCGGCCTGCTGCTCTCAGTGCTCCTCTCCGCCGCCATCATCATTGCCGGCACCCTCTGGGTCTTCAATAGAGAGGTATGTGTCGTGTACAGTCACACCTGTTCGCGGTATACCACTTTTAGAAAATTTGCCTGAGACAAACTCTGCCACTTAAACTAATCGAGATCGTGTAAGCAACGCATCTGCAATTGCGGATATCCATGGATAGCAGTCGCTCCGCTATTCAAAATTTAAATACCAAAATGTGCAAATAACTCGTTTTTAAGGTAGGACACCGCCAGATTCCTTGATAGTACCCACGTTGGATTCATTCAAATTCTATCAATTGTTCTTTTTCTTTTACATATTTAATTAGTCTGTTTTTCACATTTATTGTCACATCGTGAAATAACAAAGAAGATAGTAATGTCAGTGTAACATGTTTGCAGATGTCAGACAACAAGATAACTCCGCGCGACACGACGATGACGTTCACGTGCTTCGTGCTGTTCGACATGTTCAACGCGCTCTCCTGTCGCTCGCAGACTAAGTCCATCTTCCAAGTTGGACTCTTCTCTAATAAGTGAGTGCACCATTTAACTTCAGACCAGTTATACCCTGGGATACTATGGTCATCGTCAGGGGTGACCATATTTTGGTAGCTTTGTCTGACGTCATCCATCATTGAACCCACAGGAAAATACTAAATTTATGGAAGTTTATGAGAAAAAAATATCAGTTTTGAATCTAAATTTACCTTTTAGAAATCAATATATGTATTATTTTATTTGTTTGAAATTGTCTCATTTCTGAAGAACAGATTACATCACCTTTTTTCATCCACTATTTTTTTAATTTCCTAGAAGACAAAAACGAATTGCGCAATTTTAAAAAGACTTATCGGTCATATAAATTATTTTATTGTTATTTTTTATAATGTCATGCAACATGTATATATTCATTGTATTTGCAGAATGTTCCTGGTGGCGGTGTTCATGAGCCTGGTGGGTCAGATGCTGGTGGTGTACTTCCCCCCGCTGCAGCGCGTCTTCCAGACTGAAGCTCTCACTGGACATGGTATGTATGGACTTAGTTCGCTGTCTTATAATACCAAAAATGGCATTGAACCCTTTGTATTTTATGGAAGTAAAATCAAAATGGCTTATTAATATGCATTGATGGATTAGTAATTATTTTGAAATTTCCTTTTGTAATAAACGCTTCATTAATGAATATCTGTCGCCAGAGTCCGCGTGGAATAAAAGAAACTTAATTAGTAGCCTATACTAATAGCCAATACGCTAATAGAGATCAATGGAGATCTTTTGGAGATACCGTCTAATATCCATCCATAAATCCAAACATTCGTATTTATAATATAAGTAAGTTTAATTGTATTTCCAGATCTGATATTCCTGGTGTGCCTGACGTCCAGCGTGTTCATCGTCAGCGAGGTTAAGAAACTGATCGAGCGCACGATCAAGAAGCGGTCCCATGGAAAGTTCTCGACGAAGGCACACGACGCCATGGATTTTGTATGACACGAGACGCAGAGGAAGGAGCAGTAGGCGCGCGCCCACGTGACAGCTGTCACAGTGACAGCTGTCACCGCGACCCGGCTGACGGCTGTCACTGTGGCGCGGATCGAAGAGATGCTGGCCGTTTTGATGCGGTTTTTTACAGTGTGGGCGCGAATGAGGTTGTATTGCGAGGTGACAGCGGCTGTCGGTTCAGTGACAATTGCAGATGTGAGGGTGAATCCGCTCGTAGGCCGCCATTTTCTATTTACGATGGCAAAATAGATATTCCTATTCGCTTTTAGCTGGTTTTGTCTCTTCGGTGTTTTAGTTTTTTTTATTGTATTTATTACCTCTCACGTCGACATGACAATTGTATTTATAGGATGGTGTTACCATTCGTAAAAAACCTCATCACATTTTTAATGTATTTTTTTTAGCATTTAATATAAATTTGTCTATGATTTATTAAGTTTGTAAGTATTACTTAGAAATGCTATTTAAATACTTATTCGTTTGTGAAATTGTTAACTGATTTGTCTGGTTGTTAACTTGTATTTTTCTAAGTAATACAGTAATCAGCCTAAAGTAAGTGTAATTTTGTGAATTTATTTTTTTTACGCTTATGAATGTGTAGGAAATTATTTTGTGATTGTTTTAGTTTAGTTAGAATAATAAGTGAGATTTGAATAGAGCTATTATTTCTCCTCTGACGATGTTTTATTCCTCTCTCTTTCTCGCAATATGAGTCAAGAAAGAGAGGTTATGTGTTGCAATGTTTGAGAAAAAAAAATTTTTTTTTCTTTGTAAAAGTAATTTAAATAAGAATCTTAGTTATTTAGCTATAATGTGTAGACTTATTTATTTGAAACTATCAATATTTAAATAATAGCACATCCTAAATAGTATGAAATACTTTCATTAGGAAGGCTTTGAACCTCAGTGTTGCTAGTTGCATATCTATGATACTTAATATAGAATTCGTGATAGCTCATATAAAAAAAAATACTTAAACTTTTTAATCTCTGTATCACCAGAAGTAAACCTGAATATTAGTTTTATGTATTGTCAAAAATATCAGTGTAATAAATATTAAAAAAAATTATATATTATTTTCTTTTTCTTTTATTTGTCAAAATTGACATTTTTTTAAAACAATGGTGAAATTTTTACTCTACAATTTTGAATAACATATCTTAAATCATTCATTTTCAATTATAAAACTGGTAATACTTGATAGAAATTTAATATAGTGGCAACACTACCAATTGACCAATTGTATATAAAAAGTATACCAGTGAAATAAGAATTTTTAAATATTGTACGTCACAGTAATCACTACGAGTTTAAATAATGAATTTTCAAAAATAATTTAGCGGGAGTTTTTTTATAGCAACGCCAAGTAGTAATAAATAATTTTCGATAGTTACATTACGAAGTTAAATAAATTAAAATTGACGCAAACTGACTCTAAAGTCGGAAAATTGTTATGCAAATGTCAACTACGAAAAAAATTTAAACGGAATGATTATTTTGATTTTTTTTTATTTAGCTAGTAATTAGTTGTAGAAAACAGTATTAATGTTTTATGTATTATTTAACTATTGAATTTAAGCATTTTTCCAATTAAATATTATATCTATATTAAAACTATCACTAGAATTCCCCTTCGTAAATGTTTAATAAATCTTTAAATGTACTTAGGAAATTAAATATATTACATGTATCACCTTTATTATTAGTTATTACCATTTGACCGTATATTTAGCTCTCTAATATGATAAAAAATCACGCATTGATTCAAAGTTAAACTTTTTTAAATAAAAATAAAATTTAAATCCATTTTGGCCAATAGCCTTGTATCTGCAACATTGAATAAATCCTATTTTTTTTCACAATGAATTTAAAGGTCAAAGTTTAAATTTCGAACGTTTTCCTCGCTACCATTATTCGATTCATAATACACGAAAGAATGAACTGTAAAACTAAGGAGGTAAGGTTCAATTTAGTTTATCATTCATGTTTTACGAAGTATACTTTATAATAATGGTGCTTGATAGACGAATGAAAGGCTTCTATATAATTTTAATAATTTATTACATTGTATTTGAATATTTAATATTTAAATATATAGTCGATTTAATAATATAGTATTGACTCATTTGGCATTTAATAGTATTATTGTTTGATTATTAAAAATAAAATAGAGATTTTTAATGGGCTTTCGTGTGAAATGACGTCATTCGATATAAATAAATTTTCCTCGAATACTTTTAGTGTTTCCCTCGGTGTTTTAAATATATGAAACCATTTAACACGTTAAACGCCATAGTAAAAATAGAAAAAAATCACTTAAAAAACTTTTAACTGGAAATAGATGCGTAAAATCTTCAAAATATATCTAGTTTAGGGTTCAATCAGTAGCTGGGTTCCGCTGATAAATAAATATTGAGGTCACAGATGTACGCGGCGGTTAAATGCAGGTAGAGATCCTGTTACCGGAGACAGGAGTGGCGTTTAACGTGTTAATAAGACAAAGAAGCATCGTTTTGGATATTCTATCTCGCTCGCACATCTATTCGCTGATTGTTTTTTTTTAGAGTATAAATAAAAAGCATACGGTAATATTTCTGTCATCCACGAAACAAATTATGGATGTGACTTTTCTGTAATTATATTTAAGTATTAAAATGTTTAAAAAAATATGGTTTAATATTTTAATATTGTGGTAATAAATTTCGCAATTTCCTTGCTATTTAAAATTTGTTAATTTTTTCAATAGTTACAATAGAAAATACTTAAGTTTGGCAAAATTGACAGAAATAATGCCGTATCTAGTTTTTAAGTATCGATGTTATTGTAAAATGTAGAAATCGACTTTGTAGTTTCAAATGTGTTTCGTTTAAAAACGTAGAATATAACAAAAAAATATCTTAAAAAAATATACAAAATATTAACATAAGTAATTAGATCGGTGTATTTGTAGTGTTTTATAAATTGACATGAAATGAAATCATTTTGTACTTTAAAAAGTCAGTAAATTATCACTCGTAATCTCAAATTAGACTGTTTCATTAGCATTATCATTATCATCACCATCGTCATAATGATAATCATTATCATTATCACATCAATCGTTATCATCACAATCATCATCATCATCACCGTCATAACGATAAAAATTATCATCATCACATCAATCGTTATCATTACAATCATCATCATCATCACCATCGTTATAATGATAATCATTATCATTACCACCATCATATCAATCGTTATCATCATCATCAACTCACTATATGTTCCCCACCAGGCTTTGAGCCTACCTTAAATCAGGGATGATGTTTTATTGAAAGCCCAGTGCAGGTTAGTTTCAATAGGATGGTTCTTTTAAAAGGTATATAGGCTACGTACATTGAAATGCCAACAAAATGATTTCATTCCAGTCAACCTTTTATATTCTACAATCTTTCTTCATATCTATATATTACACAATATTCAATATAGATTACTGAAATTTTATTTATTATCATCGGGGAGGGCACAGAGTAAAAAATACAATAATATCATTTTAAGCGATTCAATGCAGCATTTGTTTTATTACGCTCACTAAGGGCGAACCTAAGTGTAGACTTATGATGAAAAACCTAAGGACTGCTTAAGCATTAAACAACTGAGTGTACCGTTAAAGGATGATGATCAATTAAGCGAAATATAAACTTACTCACAAACATGACTGGTTTGCATTATTCCAGTTCAGCGATGGAATACTGAACTGGAACAGGAAATGTGTAAACTCACAATTTGCATTTTATTGTATACATTTGTTTGTTATTGTTTTAGAACGCTGGGTTGTTCCTTTAACTGGAATAATGAAACCTAGGTATAAAGGTTGTCGGCGAACATCACACATTTTCTATTCAACTTAAGTTTCCAATTATTTTTACACACTCTCCGATGATGATACGAGTCAGTGCAATTTGTGGCGCAATTAAAAATGGATTATAAAATTGTTTTGTGTTTTCTTTTTCCCTACGTGTAGTACTGTTAAGAAGAAAATCCGACACTGTGCCGGTGTACGAGCGCAACACTAGTCTTACTAAAATGTCGACGTTTATGTCCCCTCACTAATCATTCTGACACTGGACTGTGTAAAGAAAGCACGTTATTCGCGCCAAAGGATTCTAAAACTAAGGACCTAGAAAATAGTACTCGGTCCATGTGGAATTAAAAAAAACTGAGTACTCTATGTGATATTGCAGAATGTATTCTATCGCAATTCCGAAAATTTCGTGCGGACGAAGTCGCGGGCGACATTTAGATTTATAAGTAAAAAAACCTTTAGAGGATCGAGCCTCTAATTCAGGTAATTGATGTTTCTTTTTTGAATATGTGCATAATATAACTAACATAAGGTACTTTTTGCTTATTCTTTTTTAAGGTAATTGTGATAACAGAATATTTCGTGATACAAGCAGCAGCTTCAGAAACACATGTTACATCTTCAATTATTTTTAGGAAATAAAATTGAATGTTTGAAAAAATAAATTATCGCATTTGGTGATCTCACGCAAAAATGTTTGACCCCAACATGATATATTCCGTATCTAACATAAACATAGTGACGAGATTTACGATAATTGAGGTAAAACCCAAACACAGACCTAATTTTATTCTTCTTTTCCTGTCCGTTTCTTATAAGGACGGGAAGAGGAAGTGGATTTGATGGAGGAGGAGACGCATAGGAAGCGGAAAAATTCTCTTTCAGAGTGGCATATTTCAGTCCATTTCACTGTCGATTAAATGTAGGCGACGCAGATGCGATTCCTGATGAAATTTCGGATATCAATGGACAGCGATTCACTATTTCAGCGAATCCAGATGACTTGTCTTTTACCTTATATAAAAAGTATAGTTACATATTCGTCCAAAAAAATCTTCATTATCCTTTATTCATAATTTTCGTTTCAACGTTGTTACTTAATCTGACCTCATAATGTCACCGCCCTTTAGATATATAGGAAACTTATGCAGTAAAAATTTACATGACGATAATTAATCTATTTTATATAATAGGACCGTTGATGTAAGATTGATTCTTCATTTCGGACTAGTTCTGTTAATAAAAAAACTCTACGAGATTATTGTACATTTGACATTAAAACCAACAGGTTTCTCATTCCACATTTGTCTGTCGTGACAGCCGGGCGTATACAATGTTAATTATTAAATTATTACTCTTTAGTGCCTGTTTGTTACCAACAGTCTTAGGATTTACAGTGCCTTATCCGAAAATCGAAGCAATTTATCCTAAAGGATTCAAAGTATCATTACCAGGTAAGTTCTAGTTTAATCTGTCATATACAATAGATAATTTCAGCGTTCTCGGATTCATATTTACTTATCGTGCGTTTCCATTGCTTAAAAGCTTGTATAAAAACATATTATTGTCTTCATCTATATTAATATTATAAAGCGGAAGAGTTTGTTTAAGCGCGCTAATCTCATTAACTACTGGTCCGGTTAAAAAATTCTTTTTTTGATGGATAGTCCATTTATAGAGGAAGGTTTTATTTGAAGGTGCGACCGATAGTTTTTGTGATTCAGCGCGGACAGAGTCGCGGGCCACAGCTAGATTTTAAATATAATGATAGAGATAAATGTATATTTGGGTTTTCATTATCTTTGAAAAAAGTGTTTCAACAATGGATTGGATGATGACAAACTAATCGTTGATTTCTGAGACCATTGTAAGCTTTAACAAAACATATGTACATGTAACATACAATACGGGGATTTTGGTCTCGGAAACCAACGATAAGAAAACCAAGAAACCATAAACCAAGGTATCTTTTGTTGCTTAGTTTTTATTTCACCTTCCATCGTTTTAGAGCTTTTTATAATGTCATATAAGTCTTGTAAATAAGGCCAATACATTCTCATTACTAAATATATTACATTATATGGAAGCAAATGAAATATTTTTTATTGTGTAGATGACGGATACTCGTTCTTTGGCTTTCGTGGTAATCTGAACAAAGAACTGGATGGTTTAGAATTAGGGCAATATACGAAAGATGTACCTTTACCTATCAACGGTCAATGGATATATAAAGAAAACAAGCCCAAATTAATGCTCGGTGATACAATTAATTATTGGACTTTTGTGTTGAAGAATGGAGTCAGAAATATCCAGCAAGGATCATGGACTATCACAGGTGAGAATAACTTCCAGGAACTACAATAAGATCTGTGAGTGGGATAGCAAAATATCTAATCGTATCTTAATCCAGAGAATCGTAAAATCCTTTTGGCTACAGATTGCAGACGGTTGAACCTTACTTCTGCCAGACAGAACAGAAATCTTTTATATCAGATTAGGATATATATTTTTTTTATATCATAAGGCGGCAAACGAGCGAGCGGCCACCTGAAATCGCTGAAATAGCGAAGTGACCGTTGCCCATAGACATACGCAATTGCATATGCGTTGCCTACCTTTAATCGACGGAGGAGAGGATGCACAGAAAGAAAAAATATTTTCCCTTTCCATGCATCCTCTCATCCGGAAAGTCCACTTTCACTTCCCATCCTTTCCTTATAAGAAAAAGTGTGGAAAGGAAAAGAGGACTAAATTAGGCCTCCGGGACGCACACTCATCAGACGAAATATGCTTCCACTTGACGCCTGTCTTCTGTGTGGTCGTGGTATTTCACCGAGCGAACCAGGCCAATCCGTGCGAAAATGTTAAAGCGGGCTCTACCACTGTTAATTAATTTTAAATTTAATTTATATATTATAGGTAGGATATTTTAAATTTAATTACACTTATAAACTTTTAACCTTTTCAGAGTTTGTTAATAATGCGGGAATGCCCGTGGATGAGAGTGGCAAGCCAACCATAAGAATCACTACACCGCCATCTAACGTCGTTGATTCTAAGTTTGGTGAAGTTACACCAAAACCAGACGTGACTGTCACCACAGCATCGTCGTGTCAAGAGTCACAAACCGCAGTTTTTGGACGGACGAAAATTTGTAAAGGCGAACTTCTTTTCGCTGAGGAATTTGATAAGAGAAGTATTAAGGAGTTAACTCAATGGGATCCAGAGGTCAAGTTCCCACAAGAGCCGGTAAGATAGAAAGGTCATTGTAATGCTAAAAGCTTAAGAGGACAGATTAACAATCTATCGATTACATTTACAGGACTATCCATTCAGCGTATATATGACGGATTCTTTGGGACTTGAAGACGGAATTCTATCTATATCCCCATTGCTTTTGCAGTCTAAATATAACGAAGATATAATTAATGAACGTTTAGATTTAGCCAACTCGTAAGTTTTTAATGTTTTATATAAATTCTATTCATTACATATTTTTTAAAATTCCTTTTGCAATATCAAATAGATTGAAATTGAAGTACATTTTCAAAGTTCATCTTTTCTTCTTCTTCGTCGTCGCAGTCTTTTAAGACTGGGCGTGGTCATCAAGTATCAGTGACCTGCTTCACCAAGCGCCGCCACCCCTCCCTAGTCGCTGCCTTTTTAGTATATTGGTGTATATTTTACTAAAGAATTCTTTACTAATATTCCAGATGTACAGGTCGGATGGGAACGAGAGAGTGTGCTCAGGTCGCGTCCGGGTTCCTCATCCTCCCCCCTGTCATCACAGGCAAACTGACAACCAAGAATAAGTTCAATTTCAAGTTCGGCAGAGTTGAAATCAGAGCCAAACTAACAGAAGGAAACTGGCTATTACCAGGTGTTAATTTTTCAAATATCTTGGCTGTCCAAGGCAATCGGCAAGTTGCGTAATTTCTCATATAACAAAATCTGTCAAACCGTTTGATATGCGCAATAGAATGGAACGTCCACTAAATATAACTTTCTAAATTTAAACATCTGTTTGTTCATTCTGTTTTGAACAAACCAATACTTATAGACTTTATCCCTTTCGCAGAGATAACGTTGGAACCACGTGACAGCGTGTACGGTAACCAACACTACGAATCTGGTCTCATCAGAGTAGCCTTCGCCAAAGGGAACGCGGTCTTCGCGAAGAAGTTGTTAGGCGGACCTGTACTCGCCGACTCCGAGCCATATCGCTCATTCAACATGAAGGAGAAGACTGGAATCTACAACTGGTACAAGGACTTCCATAATTACAGCATGGTGTGGAAACCAGGTCAGTAAATCATCAGAAGATGGTGATAATAAATGATGTTTTGTAAGGAAAATATAGCATTTTGTCCTAAACGATTCACAACAGTGGACTGTCCAAGCAAATAATGGTATATGTCAATGAGCCTGATAGATTGTAACACTTTGTTGAAATACGTGAAATACCTCATGCTTTTCTTCTTGGTCATTTGCAGATGGTCTAGAGTTGTTGGTAGACGGCGAACTGTACGGTACTGTGGACCCTGGCGAGGGATTCTTCTCGTCTGGTTTGAAGCACTCGGTGAAGCACGCAACACAATGGGCCCGTGGTACTGCTATGGCACCTCTTGATGAGATGGTATTTAATTGTATTATTATAATATCAATTGTTTTAATATCTTAAAGGCAAATATTTAAATTAAGGCACATCCTCGCTTTCTTTCACTTTTATTTTTATCCACTTTCTTTCAAAAAGAGAACCATTTGATTGCAGTTATTCATAATAATTCCGTAGACTTTTCTCCTATTTCTTTTATAAGGAGAATTAATTTTAATCTTTGTTACAGTTTTACGTGGCTCTTGGTCTTCGTGTTGGCGGCGTCAATGACTTCTCTGATGATTCCATTAAACCTTGGAAAAACAGGAACAGTAAAGCGATGTTAAACTTCTGGAACGCAAAAGACAGCTGGTACCCGACCTGGTCAGACGCTGCGGTCAAAGTGGACTACGTCAGAGTGTACGCTTTGTAATTGTTGTACGTTAGTGAAATAAAAGTTTGTTTTGTTATTTTCACTTTCCATTCATCGCCTCTAAAAATATTTTAACTATTTTACAATCAGTCACGGTCATATGTGAGACTGTAATTCGCAAACCAGTGACCCCCAAAGTCAGCGTCCAGGGCGGTTCGCTAACTATAATCGCTGTAAATAGCTCAATTTATTAATTTGATTATTAAAATTATGTCATGATTTAGAAAACAAATAAACGTACTTATTTTAGCCTGCCTCTCTCCTCATGATTTTTTGCTGAACCCCTTCCGAGGCTCACATGCAATTACGATATTATAGACAATCTCATATCTAGTCTTCCCATTGCTTATCTTACTAGTATCTTACTAATATTCCTAGTATTCATCATCAACCTGCCCTTATCCCTATCGAGGGTCGGCACAGTATGTACTACTCCTCCATACATCTCTATCAGCCGTCATATCCCAGTCTACCCCTTCTTACGCATATCCTCTTTCACACAGTCATTCCATACTTTTTTTGATCTTCCCCTACCCTTGTAGCCATCCACATTCAATCTCATTCTATACTATATCCTACTATTATAAATGTGAAAGTTTAGATGGATGTTTGTTAGAAGGTATCTCTAGGACGGCTGAATAAATCTGGATGATACGTACAGTAGAACATTGTCTGGAATAACACAGGGTTTTTACCGCGCGGATGGCGGGAAAAAGTTAACAATTTATAATAATCAGGTAATTTAGTGACATCACTAGTTGAGGTTAGTTACATCGAAATACAGGTGTTATTTAAATCATTACGCCGTTGGTCGTCGTCAAAGTCGGACGTCATGTCGTGTAAATTTATCTTTAGTGTTCTAGCATTTGTTTTGTTGTGTGATGCTCAAGCTAGAGCGCAGAAATATACAGTACCTCCTGCAAAATTAGAAGCTATCTATCCTCAAGGTCTCAGAGTTTCAATACCAGGTAAATGGAGATTTTTTTTTATATTTGTGTCTGTTGAATACTTTTATTAGTTTTGACATAAGTTTTCCTTATGTTTTGATTGCTTTTTGTTTAATCTTAAATTTTGTAATTTATAACATTGATATTTTAAATTAAATATTTTATTCGTTCATTAATTTATCTTGATAAGTCGTATAGTGCCTTAATATGTTTGAAGTATTTTTAATTTTATTTTTAATTAAATTGGAAGACCTTATGTCATTATTCAAGATACAGACTGATGATGATGATAATCATCATCCTCGTTTTATTATACCTGTTATTCAAACGTTTTTCATCAATATTTGTAGGCAATTAGTTATTTTTAACTATAAATCCTTGCCTCACACGACCGTCAGACACAAGGCTACACAGCAATATGAAACAAGAAAGGCAGGTTTTAGGATTGTTTTTTTTTGTTATAATTACGGTATCAATTACCCGGCAAAGGAAAATGACCCCACGGTTGTGGCTTCTATATGGAAATTAATCAAAACATGTTTTAGAGAAGCTGTGTAGTGTTAAAATGTAGCAAAAATGAACGCATTTTATTTACCTTTTATAATAACAATTTTGATGAGTATTTGAAGGTTTTTAAGACATAAATTTCCCGTTTAAAACATATTTTTATCTCTGTTTTTTGAAAGATAATGAGAGGGATAACGATAGGTTTATACAAAGATTTTGATCCAAGAAAACAACGGTCAATTAAGTATTTTACAATGATTAGGTATTGAAAATCGGTGGATAACAAAAAACAGATTTTCAAACGTCTTTAAGAACTGAACCTTTAAATGTTAACTTTGCCAATTAATCTATTGTTCAAATCCATATTGAAAACATATACAACTATCTTTCGTCTGAGACTCCATCGCGTGGAATTATGAAAACATAATAAGTTTCCTATGTGACTCCAGATTATGTTCTACGTCTGTGCCAATTTTCATCAAGATCAGTTGGTCCGTTCGCGAGTTATCTTCAAACAAACATCCATTCATCTAAACATTCGCATTTATAATATTAGTAAGACTATTCATGACAACATATAATGTTTTAAAGAATTCGTTCATTGTAATGTTTAAATGATATTCCTATCATATTATCTTCCTCTTAAATTCCAAAGAGAATCTACAATGTCAATGACACTGTAAACAGTTTTTGCACTGAGATTGATGAAATGAAATGCACGCTGGCAATGAACTTGAGACCGTCCGAATTTCACGCTAGATATTATACCGACGGCGATTCGTCAAGTTTAATTAAAAAAAAAAAACTAGTTTTAAATAAAAAAAAACCTGTTCCTAACACGCCTTTAAACAAAATACATCGAAGGCTATGATTCTATACAATACTTTGTTTTGCAGACCTTAAGGTATTATTCACGAACTGAATTCGAGTGCCGAAATATCCATATATTGAAATGTTTTTATTGTCCGTCTACACAGTGGACATCCTCCCTAATCTGCATCACTACCTATGTAGTCAAATCTATTTATAATTATGTACTAAATAAAATTTCAGACGATGGCTTCTCCCTTTTCGCTTTCCACGGTAATCTCAATCAAGAAATGGAAGGCTTAGAGGCCGGACAATGGTCAAGAGACATAACCAAAGCAAAAAATAATAGATGGACGTTTAGAGATAGGAATGCAAAATTGAAGCTTGGAGACACAATTTATTTTTGGACTTACGTCATCAAAGATGGATTAGGTTATAGACAAGATAACGGAGAATGGACCGTAACTGGTAAGAAATATATAAGTTACTAATTTCTATAAAGCAGTAAGTAAAGTAGAAAAGAGAAAGGTCGATACTACAAATTACTTTTTAATAATTAACTTAAAAATTCCAAAGTTGTTAAAACTGCCAGATGTTTGTATATGCAAGCAAGAAAATGGCAAATGCAGACCAGATTTATATCTTATTAGATATGATATTTCATAGGTTGATCACTTACAAAATTTCAGAGTTTGTGAACGAAGATGGAACCCCAGTTGATGGACAAGCGACGTTATCACCAAACTTCTCACCAGTGGTAACGCCATCTGGCACGACCGCTCCAAACATCCCAACGAGAGTGACAACATCCACCCCGCCCTGCCAAGGTTCTCCAACAGCCGTGTTTGGTCGCACTAACATTTGTAAAGGAGCTTTACTTTTCAATGAAGAATTTGAAAAGAACAATATCAAAGATTTAGTTAATTGGGACCCGGAAATTAAATTTCCTCAAGAGCCGGTAAGTGATCTTTAGTTTAACAAAAACTGTCATCAATTTGATGATAGACAAGCTGATAGCTGATAATAATAGGTTACGCGCAGATCAAGAAGCTTGGAGTCGCTTTAACTCATAATTTTCTTTCCAGGACTATCCATTCAACGTGTACATGGTAGATGGTACTCTCGGCATAGAAAATGGAGTTTTGTCTATAACACCAGTACTTCTTGAATCAAAATACCATGAAGGTTTTGTTAATGAACAACTAGATTTATCTAACACGTAAGGAGCTAAGCTTTAACTTTGCTATTTGTAAGATCAAGAATTTTAACAATTATTTTCTTTATTAGGTGCACTGGTCAAATTGGGACGAGGGAGTGTAAACAAGTCGCCTCCGGAGCACAGATCTTGCCACCAGTGATCACAGGAAAAATCACTACGAGGAACAAGTTCAATTTCAAGTTCGGCAGAGTGGAAATACGCGCTAAGCTACCCAGTGGAAGCTGGTTGACACCAGGTCTAAAGTTTTCCTAAATTTCAAATTCTAGCCCAGACGAAATATAAAGTAATAAGAGCTTAATATCTCTTTTTACAGTAACTTGTACTAACAATTACAATAAGAATATAAGAAGTCGATAGAAATGATTTAATTTTCACTAAAAATTATTCAAAAACATCATTTTTTTGGTCAAATTCTAAGACGATTTTGATTGCCAATCGTAATGCGTCTTTCGTCATATCCTACCCAACATCATGTACTTATATCTTTGTTAGCATCAAAGGTGCTTATATCCTCTTGTTACTACTTTCAGAGATAACATTAGAACCCCGCGACAAAGTCTATGGTGATAAGCGATACGAGTCCGGTCTGATAAGAATCGCCTTTACCAAAGGGAATGCGGTCTTCGCGAAGAAGTTGTACGGTGGCCCCGTACTGTCTGACTCTGAGCCCTATCGTTCCTTCCTCATGAAGGAGAAGATAGGAATTGACAGCTGGTACAAGGACTTCCACAACTATAGCATGGTCTGGAGACCAGGTAAGAACACACCTGGTAGAATATAGTTCAGATCTCCACTCATTTTTCTAGTAAAGAGTTAAAGGAAAAAGTGAAAAAGTGTAAGTGAGGGTGATGATGGTCTCTTACGAGTCTTCGACATCTTTCATAAGATTGGAGGTTAAATAATTTATTCCAACAGATGGCATGCAACTGTTTGTGGATGGAGAACAATACGGCACCGTCGATCCTGGCGAAGGATTCTTCAATACGGCGAGACAAAACGCGGTGCCTCACGCCATGCATTGGGTTAAAGGCTCAGTTATGGCCCCACTGGACGAAATGGTATTACAAAACTTCCATTAATATTAGAGGAATTATTACATTAATTTAGTCACAACTTCGAAGTTTTTAGAGACATTTTATTCGTCCCATATCTGGGAATATGAGAACCTAGAATGTATGAGAACCAAAAGATAGACTAATAAAAATTCCATCATTAAAGCGTAGTCTAACATTGTTTTATGAACTAAATGGAAGTTATTTATCGTTTTTTTATAGTTTTACGTCGCTCTCGGACTCCGAGTTGGTGGTATTCATGACTTTACCGACGGTCCAGAAAAGCCTTGGAAGAATAAGAACAACAAGGCAACTGTCAACTTCTATAATGCTCAAGAAAATTGGTTCCCGACTTGGTTCGATGCTAACCTGAAAATAGAATACGTTAAAGTATATGCTTTGTAAATTATCAATTACAACTTTTTTATGTATTCCTAGTTATAGACCAAGACTCAGTTCTAAGCCGTTTTGATAAAATTTGTTGCTTTTTGCCATTTTTGGAATAGTCGACGAATGAATCGTTTGATTGTGTGAGGATGATAAAAGTATTATTGCGAGAAATTTTATATTAAAAATAAGATGATTTATGTAAATGCCACAGAATATATACGATAAATACTCATTAGGGTATGTATGTTACATTCGTGATTAATTTTATGGTTGTAATAAAAAAGTTATTTAAGATTTAAATTAGTTTTATTTCATATTTAAGTCATAACGACCTTGATGCATTTTAAAGACTAATAGGTTAAGCGTTTCTTTGGAGATCCCGGGACCCTCGTAGTTGCACTTAAGGTTGGCCACCGAGGAGGTTTTAGTGAGTAAAAATAACCCTGTCTTTCCCCCAAAAGGCAGGGTATCTTACGAAGATTTCCCCCCCGATAAAAAATGTTAAGCGTTTTCAACGCAAAGAAATAAAAAAAATGGCATTAAAATTTTAGAAAAATAAAATATAATCTTAAAATGTATGTCCAAATTAGCATCCTGTTTGATATAAATAAAAGTTTGGGAATACATTCTTTTGTTTCAATTAAAATAATCTACGCAATATTAATTTGCAGTATTATTATTAGTAATTAACAGTTAGTGTAAAAACTGCAGAGCTTTAGACTAGACGTGATGGCGGTTAGTTTTTTTCTCTTAGCACTAGTTTTTCTTTTGTCCTGTGATACCGGGTTTTCCAATCAAGGTTATGTTGTACCAGAAATAAAACTGGAAGCATTACATCCAAGAGGATTTAGGGTCTCCATTCCAGGTAACAATTGTGTAAAATAAATTTACAGTTAAATAAAAGTTATACGTTTTGTGGTCGAATGAGTGGCAATACTTTCTCCATCTCCATGATCTACCACCATGTGGATGGCTTTCTTGAAAGTAATATAGCATATTGTGTCAAAAACATCAACCTAGAATTTTATATGTACAGCACAAGAGAAGGTATTTTACTGTACGAGGTCTAGGCATCTTACATAAGTAAATGGATACACACAATTGAAAAATTAAGCAGTCTTCTGCATTTTTAGAACATCTTAAAACGTGTCACAAATAGCAGCGACAATATACGCTTAGGATTTGATCCTAATTATTTGTTAATATAGAAGACTAGCTGTCGTCCACGACTCCATCCCTGAGGAATTAAAAAAAAGACAGTATTCTACATCTGTACCAAATTTCATTCAGATCCATCCATCTAAACATTTGCATTTATCATATTAGTAAGATAAACTTATCAAAAGGTCAAGCACGGCAAAGATCAATAATTCTAAAATAATATATTTAACCGCATTGTAAAAAATATTAATAATATTATAGAAAGTAGTTTAACATTAGTGATGAATGAAAAAGGTACTTGACAGACGGACGGACAACAAAGTGATCCTATAAGGGTTCCGTTTTTTTCCTATAAGGTACGGAACCCTAAAAATGATTGCAGTAAAGTATTGAATGATCTAAAGACACAGTACGAGAAAATCTCATACTTTGGAATCAGTGTTTTATTTGTCTGACCTTTCTTTGGGCTATCACTCTTTTCCTCGTCGTTGATAATTAGCCAAAAGTGAATAATGCCCGTTTGTAATTTACTTACTGTGGGTTTCGGAGGCCAAAATCTCCGTATAACATGTTCTTATCTCTAATTGGTCAAAGATAATAACCGCGATGACGATATGTTATACACAGATTTTGTTTTTAGAAACCCACGGTTAGTCTACCTACTTTCGTATAAGAAGATAATAATTACTGAAACATTTTTGGTCTTAAGTTAATTCTAGTTTAGATATTAAGGTTAGCGACAGGTGGTGGGCCATAAAAATTGAGCCAAAAAACGTTGTGCGACTTCACGTGAGTGGGATAAAGCCAGGGAGATGAGGATGGTATCATATTGGTAGACCCCATCTTTAACCAAATTAGGGGTCACTATATACTTATGGTCAAGGTTGCGGGAGCGTCCTGGATGCGGGTGGCACAAGATCGGTCATCGTGGCGATCTTTGGGGGAGGCCTATGCCCAGCAGTGGGCGTCTCATGGCAACAATATACTTATGTGTAATATTATTTTTAGACGATGGCTACACACAGTTCTCTTTCCACGGCAACCTAAATGAGTTGATGAGAGGTATCGCTGTAGGAAAGAATTGGGAAGTAGACAGAACCGATTTTATAAATGGCAGTTGGATATTTACTGATTTGGATACAAACCTGAGACTGGGTGACAAAATCTACTACTGGGCTTTTGTGGAGAAAAACAATATCCGTTATATACAAGGCAATAGAGAATGGACAGTAACCGGTAAGAAAATGCTCAACTAAACTTAGTCTCAATAGAATAAATACATGGAAATAGGCTTCGCATGCTTTGCTTTGCTATTCTGAAGGCGGGTAGTACAGAACCGATCATCGTGGGCGCTCTTTGTAGGCCTTTGCTCAGCAGTTTGCGTCTCGCAGCCGAACAAGCAAGCAAGCAGACAAGGCTTTTCAACGTTATACATTTATACAGAATTATTACATATTACATCAAGTAATTCTAAACCAAATCTTTCCAGTACACATAATGTTTTGTTTTAAGACTTTGTGAGAGATCGGATCAACGTAAATTCGGGTAAGGAACAGAAAAGGACAACGGAACATGTGCCGTTGCCAGTGACAACAGGGCCCTCTACAACGTGCCTGCAGTCGCAGACAGCTGTGTTAGGACGCACTCGTATCTGCAAAGGCGATCTACTGTTCGGCGAAGAATTTGGGGATGACAATATAAATCAGTTATCTAATTGGATACCTGAAGTTATGTTTCCGCAAGGACCGGTAGTTATAATATTTTTTTCTTTATAACACTTCAGTCATGTTTTCATCATCAACATCAGCTCATTTTACGTACCCACTGTATGACTCGGAGCCTACCCTAAGTTACAGGTGACTTAAAAACAGAAGTGATTGAAAAAGCTCAGACATTTTATTTCCTGTCCATTAAAAAGAAAAATCAAATAAATTCATATTTTGTAAAATTTTTCAGGATTTTCCTTTCAATGTATATTTGGCAGATGGAACAATGCGCCTTGAAAATGGGTTATTAATAATATCACCAGTGCTGCTCGAGTCAAAGTATCACGAGGGTATCCTGAATGAGGCTTTAGATCTAAGTAAAAAGTAAGTCTGTTATATTAAAAAATAAGGAGTATTTTTTTACAAATCGCCTAATGGGCTTTGGCGTTTTTTAAATATGCGTTAATAACTGTAAAAAATTTGAAATTCGAACATGCCGTTTAGGAGCCCAAAGGGCATACCGTTTTTAATATAAAATTTATTTTTAAATTTTGTCTTTCAAGTTGCACCGGCATGATCGGCACCTGGGAATGTTCCAGAACAGCGTCTGGAGCGCAGATATTACCTCCAGTTGCAACTGGAAAAATTACAAGCAAAAATGTATTTAATTTCAAATACGGTAGGGTTGAAATTCGAGCTAAGCTGCCTGACGGGGATTGGCTTATGCCAGGTAAGTAACGTTACATACGTGTTACATGTTACGTGGTACAGACGTGTACAATTTATATTTATTATCAAAAAAAAATTGCTTACAGAAATTAACCTTGAACCTCGAGATAATGTCTACGGCAACACAGACTACGGTTCCGGGCTCATTAGAATAGCATTCGCCAAAGGGAACGCAGTTTACGCAAAGAAATTGTACGGCGGACCAATTATGTACAATTTGGAGCCTTACAGATCGTTCCATCTGAAAAAGAAAAACGGAAAAAATAATTGGAGCAGCGATTTTCATAATTATAGTCTAATATGGAAGCCAGGTAATAATCCAAATTAAATTGGCAATCGAAAGGTGAATACATTAAAAGTTATGCGAGCGACTAACTGTCTTTAACAAATAGTAAAAATAGCGATAGGAACTGATGCGACTATGAGAATGTAAGCTACAATAAAATAGCTGATTAGTGACCAATTCTTCAGAATATTAATAATAATATTTAAACAATTGCTGAACAGAATAAATATTCCTGTTCCAGATGGTATGGAGCTTTACGTGGATGGTGAATTGTATGGAACGGTGGACCCTGGACAAGGATTTCACACCAGCGCAACTCAGAATGGGGTAACGCACGCCACACATTGGACTCAGGGAACGGTCATGGCACCGTTAGATACAATGGTAGCTAATGACATTTATTTTCTCTGTCTTAGATAAAGTGAATAAAATGAATAAAATAGAAGGTCAAAAAGCAAGGTGGATGATATGGGAGTATATTAAAAATGTTGGTAAATTGAACAAAGGACGTCTTATATTATAATTTTCTTTTATTTTTTTTATATCATAAGGTGGCAAACGAGCGAGCGGCCACCTGAAATGGCTGATATAGCGAAGTGACCGTTGCCCATAGACATACGCAATTGCATTTGCGTTGCCTACCCTTAATCGACGGAGGAGAGGATGCACAGAAAGAAAATATATTCCCTTTCCATGTATTTTCTCATCCGGAAAGTCCAGTTCCACTTCCTTCCTTTCTTTAAAAGAAAAAGGGTAGGAAGGGAAAGAGGACTACATTAGGCTTCCGGGACGCACACTCATCAGACGAAAGGCGAAATTGCTACCACTTCACGCGTGTCTTCTGTGTGGTCGTGGTATTTTACCGGGCGAACCGGGCCAATTCGTGCGAAGATGTTAAAGCGGGCTCTACCACTGTCTTTTAGCTTTGAAAAGGATATGAAGTATTTTTGTTTAAAAAAAATTAAAAAAGATGATAAAATTGTTGAGTTTGTAAATTAAAGTACTATTTTTTTTATCCTCGTATTTCATACTAATATTAATGTAACTAAATAATTTGCTTTAATATACTTTCACAGTTTTACGTGAGTCTTGGTCTTCGAATCGGTGGTATCAATGACTTCGATGATGTATATTTCAAGCCGTGGAAGAACAGAGCTCGCAAAGCCGTCCTAAACTTCTGGTCGGCAAAGGATTATTGGTTGGAGACATGGTCTGACGCTGATATGAAGATTGATTACGTTCGAGTATACGCTCTCTAAGAAATACACGAATGTGGCAGTCTCAAGAGGTTTATAAACCAAAGAATAAGCTAACAATGATGGTAGACAAATTAGTTTATTAAATGCTTATAATAAAAGGTTTCAAGTACTGTTTTATTTTTGCGCAGCCTTAACTTTCCAGAGAGGAGCTAATGCCTGCAGTAAGAGTAGCCTTGTATTATTTACCTAATAACTTCACTACAACAAACTATATAGCTGTCGCCCGCGATTTCGTCCGCGCAGAACTAAAAAAAAACTTAATTAATATCATATGTGTTCTTCTAGACAATGTTCTATATCTATACTAAAATTCATCGAGATCCGTTCATCTGTTCAGAAGATAACATCCATTCATCTAAACACTAAAATATTAGTAAGATTACTACGTACAGAATACAATCAGGCATTATATTGTTGACTGCATAGTTGAGGTGGGAAAAGTGAAGCGTGATGAAGTGACGTCTTATCTATTCCTAGTTCATCTCATTCCTTCGATATTTTACATAACAAAATCTCTAACAGTACTTCTATTTTAAAATTGCATTATAAAGAACATAGTAATAAATAAGAGCAGATTACTGCAACATTTTCCCCTTATTGTGTTAATCATCTTAATGCAATGTACTCAGTCGGTGGTATGTCGTGGACAAGTGCAGACGTCATGGCGTGGAAACATATTCATTTGTTGATATTGTTTGTCTATAGTTCTTATTTAGTCAAAGCATATACAGTCCCACCTGCAAAACTCGAAGCAATATATCCTAAAGGGTTGAGAGTTTCAATTCCAGGTAACTTTCGTTATTTTTAACTTTGTTTACAATAGGACAATGAGTGTATGTTTCTTTTAAACCTATTTATGTTGTAGATTTTATTATTGGTTTCACTTTTGCTTCATTGAGTAAAATATTGATTGAATGATTATTACAAGAAGACATTTCTTCGAGTGTAACTAAGTTGAGTAAGGAGTAACCAACTAATAGATGGTCCTGATAGGCTAGCCTATTCAAGTAGTATTAAGGGATATTATGAAATAAATTATTCCTATTCTAAAGATATATAAAGTTGACTGTAAATATCTAATTTTAGCACAATAGAATATTTTAAGATTGTTCTTTTTTCTTTGAGTTGTTAGAAATAACAGAGCCTGTTATTACAAAAAAAATTAACAGATTTACGAAACGTTTAGGCAGTCGAGTGTATAATAATCCGATAATTTATGTACAAGATTTTAAAAATTGTCACATAAGGAAAAAAATGTATAGTTGACCCTAACGATTTCATCTCTACTTGTATCCTTCGTTTTGTCAAGACTCAAGTGAACTGGTTTTATAAATTTTATCAGGTTATTTTACCTTTTTACTACATTCAGTAATATCAAAGAATTTTGACATATCTATTTTCAATGAAATAACCTAACCATTATTATTATTCAACCACGTCTTGATTACTTTTAAAATACGATTTCATTAGCAGATAATTTAAAAAAATCTATAATTAGCCCGCGCGCTTCAGCTACCTTCCCGTCCACGTCCTGTCAACATTAGTGTAGTGTATGCATAAACGTAGTGTTGTTTGTCTCGAGCGTACACGCCATAAGTACATGCCGGAGAGAGGGGACGTCAGTCGATGTCAGACCTTTGGACCGGCAACACGTGTCGGTACGTGAACGAGCCAAATATAGCACAACGAATGAAATTGGGACAGCCGTTCCAGACATTAGTTACATATTATCAACGATCTTATTTGATACTAGATATATTTACGTATGGATATGCTACGGCAGTAGAATGCTTGATTCCTAATCTAATAAAGTAAATCTCATCATCTTCCAATCCTTTATCCCACTTTGTATAAAGGACAGTGTTTCGATAAGATTGTAATTAATATTCCAGATGACGGTTTCACACTGTTTGCGTTTCACGGGAACCTGAACGTGGAAATGGAAGGTCTGGAGGCTGGACAATGGGCGAGAGATATAACGAAGGTTAAGAATGGTAGATGGACTTTTAGAGATAGGAATGCTGAACTGAAATTAGGAGATAAAATCTATTTCTGGACGTATGTTATAAAGAATGGTCTAGGCTATAGACAGGATAATGGAGAATGGACTGTAACTGGTAAGTAATTGTTATATAAATTTCATTTTAAAGATGTTGATGTGATGGTCGATTTATATGAAAAAAGGGTCTTGATAGACGGACGGACGGACAACATGATCCTATAAGGGTTCCGTTTTTTTCCTTAAAAATGAAGAATCTTTAAATTAGTCAACTTAAAAGGTCTACTTCACGAGAGCCTATGAACCGTGGGTTTCTGAGACCAAAATCTCTGTATAAAACATATCGTCATCTCTGTCGTTATTTATGTCAAAATACAAATAAAAAGATGTTTTAAACAGAGATTTTCATCTCAGCAACCTACGATAGCAGGATCTGAATACTGTAACAAATATACATTTCTTTGAATTAAAAAAAAAAATCTTATAGATTTTCCTCTTCAATTGTAAAAATTCTAGGAAACACTGTTTACCTAAGAAATTCATACCTCCAAATTGAGTGCTATAAAACTTTTTTACTTTGTTATACGTCTGGCGAATCACTAACAAATTGAACAAACACTGTAAAATATTCCTAGAAAATAGATATCAGAAGCATACTTGCATCCTCCTTATCTTTTTTATATTTAACTGTTTGTTATTACAATGAGTCACTAATAAAAATAATTAACTTTACGTTAATTGTTCTTTCATACATTCATAATCAGCTCACTATACGTCTCCACCGAGAGGCACGGAGCCTACCCTAAGTAAAGGGTGATTTAGCCATAGTCAACCAGGCTGGCCAAGTGCGGGTTGGTTGACTTCACACATATCTTTGAATTACTTCTCAGATATGTGCAGCATCACGATGTTTTCCTTCACCGTAAGAACGTCGGATTAATGTACATATGTAATCGGAAACCGGAACACATTGGTACGTGGCGGGATTCGAACCCAGGTCCTGCAGATTATAAGTCAAGTGCCACCCCTGAGCCACCGACGCTCAAACTAATGGCCTAATATTAAATATGTATGAGAAACATTCTAAAGCATGAATAGTAACCTATCGTGTACCGTTCGATATGACCAAAAAACTTAAATAGAATCATAGTCAAGTGCAATAATGCATTTTTTTTCTAGAATTTGTCAATGAAAATGGTACAATTGTGGATCCGAATGACTTACCACCTGCAACCACAACCACTCCTAGTTTCATACCAACGTCAGCAACAGTTCCACCTTCATGTCAGCAGTCTCTAACCGCGGTGCTGGGTCGTGGTCGCGTCTGTCGTGGAGAACTCCTCTTCAATGAGGAATTTGATAAGAACAATATTAAAGATTTATCAAATTGGATCCCGGAAATTATGTTTCCACAGGAACCGGTCAGTAAAGTTATTTATTACTAGCTGTCACACGCGACTCCGTCCGCGCGGAATTAAAAATAATTAATGGTCGCAGCGTAATGTTATATAGCCTTAAGGCTTCCCATTTTTTCCTGTTCCTCCTCCGCATCAAGGCGAGGCCACGGGCACGCTTGCGCCCGCAACCTCGCCTGTGTCAGCTGCCGAAGCAGCTCCCACTATGTGGGAGGGCCTACCTTCAGCCTCAGGCGCTGGATCTTCCCGTATCCAGCGCCCTAGGGCTGTTGCGGAGGGGGGGGGGGCGGTATTTTGCCGCTTTCGTCTCCCCACAGCCTAAAGCCTTCCTCTATAAATGGACTATCTAACAAAAAAAAAATATTGTTTCAAATCGGACCAGTAAGTAGTTCTTGAGATTAGCGCGTTTAATCAAACAAACTCTTCCGCTTTATAATATTAGTATAGATATACGTACATACAACAAATAAATTAAGCAACATTAGCAAGAGTAATACAACACAATAAAACTGACAATCAATCCAATAACAGTAATAGAAACAAACAACAACAACAACAACAACATTGATACAAAACAAATAAGAAGTAAAAACACAGAAAAAAATATTAAAGAAATTTACAAATGTCAGAAATTTTGTCTTCAACATAGATATGAATTTTAACCCTTAAATCGACGAAATTTTTATTATAGCAAAAAAAAATGTTTTTTTTTTAGTAAAGTCATATTTACCTTATTTTCTCTAAACTAGTTCAGTAGATTTTTTTTTAATTAGTTGTTCGTCACACTGCACACCATCGAATTAAGGGTTAATATAATTTTACTATGAACACGATCCCTATTATTCTTATTGGTAAAAGAATAACTTAAGGTCAAGTGCATTCGCTCCGAAGAGATTGACGCGCGTCATTCACGACGTCATTGACTTATCGAATGTTACTGTCAGTTCTATATATTTTTGAAGTTCATTATGGAATCGATTCCAAGGGAATGCACTTTGTCTAACCACGTAGGTTATTTAGTTTACTAGGTGTCTAGGTTTTATGGTGGGGTCCTGAACGCTCAGGCGGCCCTGAGAAAGTGGTCGAACCTTAGAGTACGACGGAGCTGGACCCAAAAGGTCTAGCGAGGCGTTGGAGGGTGGCGGTTGTGTTCCGTACGGAGATCCCGCCTCCCCCCCTTGTTCGCGCCGGTGGCGACCACCGTGGGGTTTTAGTCGGTGCAAGCCCGACATAACCACCTTTGTCCCCGCAAGGATGGTATGCGAAAGGCATTTCCCCACGATAAAAAAAGGTGTCTAGGTTTTATGTTCTATATTTATGCCAAATATTAGCGAGATCTATGGATACATCTAAACATTCGCATTTACTCATATGTATATCAAAATCTGATACGACATTAGTAGAGATTAGTAATATCTTCGGTCATAAAGATTCTAAAATTAATTGTGTCTTGTCTATCTTTGTTCATAAATACGTCTGGGAAAACCAAAGTTAAGAATATAAGGGAAAATTACATTTCTCATAAAATGTAATTACTTGATGCACTATACATATTGTAGTTAATTCGATTAACGCTGCTCATTAAGAATATGATAACATTCATTAATTTACTTCTTAGGTTAAAATCTGACTTTCTTCCGTGATTTTCAAATGCCAATGTACTATTAAGTTGAGTTTAATAGCAATTGTAACCAATAAAGATGATAAATCTTTATATAAATTACCTAACCGAACTAACAATAAGAATAAAATGCAAGTAATTAGCGTTAATTGCTTATTATAAAGTTTTTATCATTATTAAATTCTTCGTTAACACGTTGAGCGACACGCGTATTTCTAAGACAATCCCGTTCAGGCCACGAGCGCCGCTTATACGCGCTGGTACTAAAGGGCCGGTGTTTCCGATCGCAGTACTAAATAGTTTACATGTTTAACGAAAAATAGTGTAAAATTTTATAGTTCTCATGTTACACGCTGTCAGCCACTGATGGCTGACGCGACCTAAACAGAGAATCTAGTGTCAGCCACTGATGGCTGACGCGGCGCTCAACGTGTTAACTTCATACGGAGTAAACTAACAAAGAAACTTACTAATACTATAAGTACGAATGTTTAAATGTATCTCCAAAACGGCTGTACGGATCTCGATGAAATTTGGCATACATATACAGCACAGTCTGGAAGAAAACATACGCTCCTATTTTTTTTTTCATTCCGCGCGGACGGAGTCGCAGGCGACATCTAGTCTTTCATATAAATATATAATATTTTTTTTGTAATTAAAAAAACTCCCGTATTGTCACCCAAAACGAGTTTACTTATTGTTATTGGAAACTAAACAATTCTAATATTTATTTAACTTTCAGGATTATCCTTTTAACGTGTATCTATCTGACGGTACACTGCGGCTCGAAAATGGAATGCTTATAATTTCTCCAATACTTTTAGAAACTAAATACCACGCGGGATTTTTAAATGGTGCCTTAGATCTGACAAATACGTAAGTATTCTTTGGACAATGAAAAGAATTAACTGCGAACATTTTGTATGACAGTGATTTTTGATTAATAATTTACTACCTATCGGCAGCAACTCGTCGCAAAAAAGGCTACTTAAGCCTATGTGTTCTTCCAGGCTATGTTCTACATTTATCCCAAATTTCATCAAGATCCATGCAGCTGTACTGTAGATATCTTCTAATAAACATCCATCAACCCATACATTCCAACATTTATGATATTAGTAGGATTAAATTTTCATAATAAATATTAAATGTAACATAAAATATACTTGGCGATTTTTGTAAGTAGTTCTTTTGACTTAGTTTCTTTATCATTCGTTAGACCTCAAATTTTAAATATTTATACGATTAGCGACTTCAGAGCCCATACAAAATGCAACTGTAAGAACATGTGGGAACCTTGTCAACGTAAATCGAATATTAGCACTTATAAGGATTAAGTAGCTTTTAAAACTTATATTTTATTACTAGCTGTCGCCCGCGACTCCGTCCGCGTGTTTGTCTAAAAAATAAAATTTAGGGGTGGACTCTTAACGTTTAGGGGGATGAAAAATAGATATTGGCCGATTCTCCGATCTACTCAATATGCTCACAAAATTTCATGAGAATCGGTCAAGCCGTTTCGGAGGAGTATGGGAACGAAAATTGTGACACGAGAATTTTATATATAAGATAATTTCAGTTGCACCGGAATGATCGGCACATGGGAATGTTCTCGAACAGCATCTGGAGCGCAGATACTACCTCCAGTTGCAACTGGAAAGATAACAAGTAAAAATAGGTTTAATTTCAAATATGGTAGAGTTGAAATTCGCGCGAAACTACCGGCTGGAAGTTGGCTTTTACCAGGTAAAATGCTTTACACTTTTAGAGAATACTCTGCATTAATATCAACGATTCCTGTAATATGAATGGTAAAAAATTCTTGACAAGTAAATTGCGTCTTTTATTTTCAGAAATAAACTTAGAACCGCGTGATAATGTTTACGGTAAAACAAACTACGTATCTGGTCTCGTAAGAATAGCGTTTGCTAAAGGGAATGCTATTTACGCTAAAAAGTTGAACGGCGGACCAATTTTGTCCGATTTGGAACCTTACAGATCTTTTAATATGAAGAGTAAAATCGGTATAAGCAACTGGAACAAAGATTTCCATAATTACAGCTTAGTTTGGAAACCAGGTAAGGGATCTATACAGTTCATAAAAATGGAGTGTCTGTTTGTTACATCAAAATAAAACTTTCTTATTTCAATTAAAGAAAATATTTTTCTCCTGCCTTTCTGTCTGTACGTGTGTTTGCTGAAGCTACACAATCCTTACGTGATAAAGGCTACATTCATTACTAGATTTTTTAATTCCGCGCGGATAAAGTCGCCGGAAATAGCTAGTCTTCAATATGCCGGTACAAAAAATTGTGTTAGCTCAAGTAAAACCTACATTCTAGTGTTTAATTATTATCCAATTTCGAGTGCGGCGCATCTAGATTAAGTACAATTATAAAATAATTAATATTCCAGATCTTTTGGAGTTTTATGTTGACGGAGATTTGTACGGTACAGTGGACCCTGGTGAAGGATTTTACAACAGCGCCAATCAGAACGGTGTCACACAAGCCTGGCATTGGATACAAGGAACAGTTTTGGCACCATTGGATCAAATGGTAATTATACTCCTCTTGCTAAGCGACCTAAAATCGGTCTTGGCTTTTGAAACAAGAGATCGCCAGCAATGCCTGTCCAGCGCCATCTGCCAGTAGAATGGAGACAGCTTCAGCTCCTCAGTTTCCCTGCAGTATGTGACTAAGCGGATGGGTCGACGGCCAATTATTATAAAATAGTTATAATAAAAGTTTCGTTCCGTAGGGAAAGTACAGGATAATAACGAGACACATTTAACCACCATATATATAGGTATTGAGGTGATAATTGCAGCAATTAGCCGTCTTCGACAATAGAATATTCATATGAATAGTAGAAGAATAATGACCTAATTACTGTTAGGAAGAAAATCCGACACTGTGTCGGTGTGCTGGCACAACACTAGCCTTACTAAAATGATGACGTTTTTGTCCCCTCACTAATCATTCTGACACTGGACTTTGTAATGAAAGTAGGTCATTCGCGCCAAAGGATTCTAACTAATAATGCCTCAAATTACCTAGACCAGTTACCCCCCTATTGTTAATCTCTATTATTAACGTGCAATGATTAAGATCACAAAGGAGCCACAGAATTAACACAGGAATGGTTTAGTCCACCTCTATTTTTTTGCCATATTTTTTTTACTTACACAAATTTCGTTCTACTAGACAGTAAGTTTTAAAATTTTTATATTATACAAATTAAATTTTTATTGCAGTTCTACGTATCCCTTGGCCTTCGTGTTGGTGGTATCAATGACTTTAGTGACGTCAAAGATGCAGAGACCAAGCCGTGGAAGAATGGGGGCAGGAAGGCAATGTACGATTTCTGGACCGCAAAAGACGCATGGTTCCCTACTTGGTACAACTCTGATATGAAAATTGATTACGTCAGGATATACGCCTTGTAACAAAATTATACTTAATACGTCTGATATAAAGTATAAATTATTTAAATATTTAATTTACTTGTTTTTCTTAAGTTAACAAGAAGGTTTCTTAACCATTTACAATATTATATTGATGTCTTCATGAGCTATGTTTATGTAGGCTTGTATTAATACAGTCATCTCTCTTATTCCCTTGGAGAAAACAAAGACAGCAATATGTAATAATATAAGTGTCGCGGCAATCGAGATTTTCGGTAAGATTTCAATAGTCCACTAGTCACGCGCGACTTAGTAGAAAAGGGATCTAAGGGAACGTACCCATACTACGTGACCCGTTTAGAGGGGGGAGGGAGTCCTTAATATACTACGGTCAATCACAGGAGGCGGGGGGCTTAGATTTTTGTCACGTAGTCGTTATTTTTCATAATACATAATTCACTAGTAATTTAAGTATGCATGCAGTCTTATGCTATAAACAAGAGTATGAGCCAAATTATTATTTTTTGCCGGTGAAATGATTAAAAATCATAATTACTACGTGAAAACTAAAAGGGGAGGTGGGGTCATGTACTACGAGTGGTCACCGAGGGGAGGGAGGGGTCGAAAAAACTAGAAAAATAGGTCACGTAGTATGCGTATGTTCCCTTAACAGAAAACATTATATAAAGGTAGTAATACAAGTTCTTGGAATTCCCCCAAAAATTGATATCCCTGTATTCAATAAATATATCGCCAAATGAATATGTAATTATTACGTCACATATTTATTAAATTTATCATTAAACACGTCTTTAAATTGAAGCTTAATAGTATATTAAATATTATACATATTAACTATACTCATGATGTAACGTTTTCCAATTATTTAAATCGAATTCTCGTTGAGAGTAACAAGTCTAAGTGAAAACAAAATAATGCTTTGTAATCATAAAATATTGACCACTTTATATTTCACTGTTATATTTATTTATGTAAATGGAAATTCTTTATCTGTGGAAAGATTTAAACGACAAAATAATGGTAAGTTATATTCTTATCTTATTAATAATATAAATGCGAATGTTTAGATGGATGGATGTTTTTTTTTATGTATCATAATGTGGCAAACGAGCGAGCGGCCACCTGAAATCACTGAAATAGCGAAGTGACCGTTGCCCATAGACATACGCAGTAGCATATGCGTTGCCTACCTTTAATCGACGGAGGAGAGGATGCACAGAAAGAAAATATATACCCTTTCCATGCATCCTCTCATCCAGAAAGTCCACTACCACTTCCCATCCTTTCCTTATAAGAAACAGGGTGGGAAGAGAAAGAGGACTAAATTAGGCCTCCGGAACGCACACTCATCAGACGAAACGCGGAATTGCATCCACTTCAAGCCTGTCCTCTGTGTGGTCGTGGTGTTTCACCGGGCGAGCCGGGTCAATTCGTGTGAAGATGTTAAAGCGGACTCTACCATGTTTGTTTGAAGGTATCTACAGAATGGCTCAGTGGAAATCGATGAAATTTGGCATACATATAGAACATATTTTGGAAGAACATATAGGCTACTAATTATGTTTTTTTTATAATTCAGCGCGGACAGAGTCGCGGGCGACAGCTTGTTTAATATAAATATATAAAATATTAAATTTTATTAATACAATTATGAATTTTAATTCAATTTTTTTGTATTTTTAGAATCGCCAACAATTATAGGAAGATTTATTAACAGATTTATCCGGCCGCCTAATGGTATGAAACTTGATAATATTCAAAATAAATATAGAAAAAATAAAACAAAAGACGAGAAACATCGATGTAAAGTTCATAAAATAAACTATAATCCATGTCTATAATTAGAATCAATCAGATTTATTCGTTTTTAAAAATAATTATTATATTTTACTCATTTATTTAACAGTAAAACTTTCATTTCTTATCTATTAAATATTTTTTCTAAGATCCAGAAACTGAGAGAACACCAAATACTTTCGATTATGGTTCATGTCAACTCTCTAAGTCTAAAACATCAGCGCCTGGGTTCGTCTGCAAAGGTCAGCTGTTATTTGAAGATAATTTTAATAGTGACCTCAATGAGGGAATGATATGGACTTCTGAAGTTAAGATGCCAGTACAACCGGTTAGTAAAAGTTTTTGATAACTTTCCTACACAACGAAGAGTCGGGACAGTACTACTTCCAGACCTATCAGCCTTCATTCCTGTATCCAATCATCTTGCAATTAAAGCATTTCTAAGAAGTTATTTAATTTTCTTCTACTTATGTTTTAATTATTTCAGGATTATCCATTCAATTTGTACGAAGATAGGGCTGAAGTGAAAGATGGTAAACTTTTGATTAGTCCTATCACACTGGCTTCGAAGTACGGGAGTGATTTTGTAAGACGATCCATGTCTTTACGCCACAGGTAAGAATAACGACATTTTTGACATTATTCTTTACAATCACCATTGTAAATTAAGGACAATCACTTCTTACCAACTTCCTGCTATGTTATCCTCTTTAATTATCTATACGAATTGACATCTACTTTTTCTTTTACTTGTTCTATGTATGTGCTATTCTTGGCTTAACCCTCTTCGTTTTCTTTTCTTTTATTGTGGTTATATGATGATCGTGTCGTATCAGATGTTGTACCATTTTCCTTCATACTCTATTGTTTTCACTAACTCTCTATCTCTCTCTGCCTAGCTTTCACCCCAAGGTGGTGGGGTCAGCTTTCCCAATGCGTCTTTCTGTAACCTATCCATCTTACATCCAGAATATTTGACGAAGTTTGGATTTATTACTGCGCTGCCGATTGTCATCTGACACACCAATTTATTGTTTTGACTAACTATTTCATATAATCTTAGTTAATTCCATTTCTCCGTGTCTCCACAGTTGTACAGGATCGACATATGAGGAATGTAATATGGAAGCATTTGGACCCCAAATTCTACCTCCAGCTATCACTGCTAAGATAACAACGAGAAACACTTTTAGTTTCAAATACGGTAGAATAGAAGTTGGAGCTAAAATGCCAATAGGAGATTGGCTGATACCTCGTCAGTATTAACATCTATTTATCTTTTTTATACTATAAGGTGGCAAAAGAGCGAGCGGCCATTTTAAATCGCTGAAATAGCGAAGCAACCGGTTCCCATAGACATACGCAATTGCATATCTGTCGCCTACCTTTATTCGACGGAGGAAAGGAAACACAAAAAAAAATATTTTCACTTCCCATGCATTCCCTCATCCAGAAAATCCACAACCACTTTCTATCCTTTCCTTAAAAGAAAAAGAGTGTAAAGGAAAAGAGGACTAAAATAAGTCCTCCGGGACGCACACTCATAAGACAAATCGCGGAATTGTTTCTACTTGACGCCTGTCTTCTGTGTGGTAGATTGCGTCTCAAGTGCTTGACCCCTGAGCTACCGACGCTCTTACGACGATGTATAAATTAATATAACTAAATAATTCTGTAGTGATACAACTGGAGCCACGTGACAACGTCTACGGATCATTGAACTACGCGTCAGGTTTGATCCGCATCGCATGTGTTAAAGGCAACATGGAGTTGTCTAAGAAATTATACGGAGGTGCCATCGTCGGTCATTCTGAGCCATTGAGGTAAAATTGTTAAGAAATAATACGAGCTTCTTCTAAGCGATTGAAGGTGATAACTATGTATACTGTGGATACTAGCTGCCGCCCGTGACTCTGACCGCGTAGAATGTAAAAAAACTTTCTTAGTAGCCCACGTGTTCTACCAGGCTATGTACTCATCCATCCATGCCAAATTTATGCGAGATCCATGCTGTTGTTCTGGAGATACCTTCAAACAAACATCCATCCATCCATACATTCGCATTTATAATATTACTAAGATTTAATTTGAAACTTAAATCTATTAATTTTTATCTATCAATTTTTGTTTGCAGAAGTAGGTATTTACGAGAAAAACAAAATAATCAACAATGGAGTAAAAGCTTTCATAATTTCACATTGGTATGGAGTCCAGGTAGGTTAAGAAAAGTGTATTAAAATAATAGACATAATGTCAGTTTAGCACAAACTGAAAACAGTTTCATAGTTACCGAAGATAGTTAACTGTAGTTTGCTCGTTAGTCACAGTTTGAGCAACATTGTAATTTACTAACTTGAATGACAATGTTCAATACGTACAAGCAATGTAATATATATTAAGTTCCTTATAAAAAATCTAATTTTTATCCGTTTTATTGCTCAACATATTTTTTAATAACTGTAGTACGCGACTCCGTCCTCGCGGATTTAAGAAAATTGCATTAGCAGTCTGTATGTTCTTCCAGACTATGTTATACATCTATGCTAAAGTTAAGCGAGATCCATGCAGCAATTATGGAGATACCTTGAAACATTCATCCATCGAATCAAAACTAAAAATATTAGTAAGAAGTAAGATTATAAAAATTTGTTTGCAGACGAGATAGTTATGTATGTTGATGGAGAAAATTATGGAAGAGTAAAGCCTCCGAATGGATTTTTTGAAGATGTAAAAAAACTCAATACCAGTACATCCGCTAATTGGGTTAAAGGAAGCAATATGGCTCCTCTAGATGAAATGGTAAATCAAAATTTTAATAATAGACCTAAGACTAATAATGTAATTCGTATAATCCCTAAATCAAGCATCATACAAAGCACGATATCCTTGTCAGAAATTGACATAAAATCTAAGTCTAAAAATATAATAATACTAGCTGTCACACGCGACTCCGTCGGCGCGGAATTAAAAATAAAGTTAATTAGTAGCCGATGTGTTCTTTCAGAGTATGTTCTATATTTATGCCAAATTTCATCGAGATCAGTTTAGCCGTTCTGGAGATACCTTCAAACAAAGATCCATCCATCCATCTAAGCATTCGCATTTATTAATATTAAAATAATAAGATATGCAGTAGGTTGGTGTACCAATTGAAATAATTAACATAATGGCTCCTTACTGTTAGTAAGAAAATCCGAAAATGTGGCAGTGTATTGACTCAACACTAGCCTTACTAAAATGTCGACGTTTATGTCCCCTCACTAATCATTCTGACACTGGACTTTGTAACGAAAGCACGTCATTAGCGCAAAAGGATTCTAGTTAATAATGTCTAAAAGTACTAAATCCTCTTCAATAATATTAAGATATTTATATTCTTTAATTGAACTATTATTTTGTCTTTTTCTCTTTCAGTTCCATGTATCAATCGGTCTGGATGTTGGCGGTGTCCATGAATTTCAAGATTCCCCTAATAAGCCATGGAAGAATTCTTCAAACAAAGCCATGCTTGAGTTCTGGAACGCGCGCCACTTGTGGTATCCAACATGGACTTTAGAGAGTGTATTAAGTGTCGATTACATACGTATTTACGCCTTGTAACATAACATTTTAGTTCATTTTAATGATCCTCGGAATGTGGTGGCAGAACTCTTGCTCCTTTTCGCTTTTGTAAATAATAAAGTTTTTTTTTATGAAATAAACGAAATAAGTTGTTTTTTTTAGCCGAATGATTTTTCGCAGGAATTTTGTGTCGTTTTAAGTAAGTTTCAATACCAAGTATTTCCTTGGTGTCTAAACGCTTGAACTGTTTTTGACGAAAGAGATGTTAATTCGTATTTTTCCTCGGATTTTTAAGTATGCTACAGTTAGTTCTTATTGGATTTTAATATTTACAAAAAGCTACTTATAAGATATCAAGCGAGCAGTGGATCACCGGAGTTGGACCAGAGAAGCTGCAAATATGGTAACTGATTTTAAAGAAATTCGCTGATTTTTCGAGTAATTTTAACCATTTCTTTATTGCATAAGACTGCATGCATACTTAAATTACTAGTGAATTATGTATTATGAAAAATAACAACTAACGACTACGTGACAAAAACCTGAGCCACTGTATTTTAAGGACACCCCCCCCCTAAACGGGTCTCGTAGAATGGGTATGTTCCCTATAACATAGCTTCATTTCGATCACATTTTTTTGCTACAGGATGTTCACTTCGATCATATTATTTTTTACTACAGGTGATTAATTGTTAATTTTGATTTCGCTATTAATAAAATAAAATGTTATTGTTGTAAATTATTTATATCTCACTAAAGTTAGCACACAAGGTTGTCTTTTGAAGAAAAAAACAAAAGAAAAACAAGGAAGATCGATCGATGTAGCGATCTAATCGATTATATAGAGGATTGTATCTATACATAATAATAAAATTGGAATGTCTATATTATAAAAATCTAAAACCGATGTATTTACTTTACTTATTAAAAAAAAACTTTTTTTTTTAATTTTTGTTCAGCCTGTCTCCGCAAAACGGCATTTGTTTTGGGTAATCTCTGGAACGGCTGGGCCGATTTTGTTGGGACTTTGATGGGAAGATTGCTGATGTACGCGGGCATATTATAGGCTGTTTTTTAATCCCGCGCTGACGAAGTCGCGGTAAACCACTAGTAATGTACATGTTACAATAAGTAACTTATAATACCAACTTAATTGTGTCAAAAAACTTAACTAAAAAGTGTTTTTATAAAATAACAGTAACGTCTAATCATTAACGTTTAGAAGGAACGTAATCAAGCGTATTTAAGACGAACCTATGTTGGTTTTTCCGCGGAACCGGATTCAAGGCTATCGAGATGTTGTAAAAATAAAACATGACGTATGACAAAAGAATATGAAATATCATTTAATTTTAAATGGACGTATTATTTAATTTGCTGTTGTTTTTTTTCAGATTTCTTTTATAAAAGGTCGTATATACATGTGTGCTGTTCATTTTTTTAAAAAAGATTTCCAATTAAATGTAATAACTTCGATATAATTGATTTTGCTAGGTTCAGGCAGTTGTCTGAGAGGGAGCTGCCTCGGCAGCTGGCGCAGACGGGGCCGCGGACGAGAGCGAAAGCGTGCCCGTGGTCCCGTCCCGATGCGTTGGAGGAACAGAGGGGTTTAGTGGGTATGCCTCCGCTATGGAGGAGAATCCCACATAACTACCGCGTCCCCCCCGGGGCGCGGAGTATGCATAAAGCATTCCCCTCTGAAAAAAAAAGGTTCAGGCAGTTGTACATTTTTCTTTTTTTTTTGGGAATGTACGTAAATGCAGAGACGAGAGTTGCGAAAAATCGCCACAAAATTGAAATCCAGTATCTCTGCCGATCTTATTAAGTTACATGCGTGAATATATGATGAGATAATCTATTTGTACATCTAGCATGGTACGTACAAATAGACTAAATATACTTAAGTAAGAAATACTTAAGAAATACAATTTCCTGTTTTCCTGTATACTTTTGTATTCATCATTCATGATCAAGAAATAATTATTTTAAAATACTGTGCCGAGGCATTATTGTACTGGTTTTTTTTCATCGTTTCGTACACATTATATCTCGTCTGTGGCATAACTTGTTTTAGTCGCTTACTAACCTGTATACAGTAAATACGTGCGATTTTGATTAGATTTAAAAATCATTTTTTTTCTAGTATAAGTAATGAGGACAGTGTAACAATGGGTTATTTAGCTAAATTATATATTTTCGTTTGTTTATTTATTGCTATAAATTGTTATGAAGTGCCACCCGCTAAACTAGAAGCGATTTATCCTAAAGGATTACGTGTTTCTGTCCCAGGTTTGTACATCTTTGTATTTTAGATGTGAGAAATTCTAAAAGGTTAAACTTGACAAGGTCACGCCGAATAAGTTATAAACTAGCTGTTTGACTCTGTTCACGTGATAAAAAAAATAATTAGTAGTCTATGTGTTCTTCCAGATTATGTTCTATATCAATGCCAAATTTCAGCAAGATCCTTGCAGTCGTTTTTGAGATATATTCAAACATTTTTCCATATAAACAATCGCATTTATAATATTAGGAAAACTACAATTTATATGTCTATTCGTCACACTATGTTAAATTGCTATTGGTTATATATTTTCCGGGCTATCAAGATCGTTAAGTTCTAAGGTCATCATTACATATCAATTTATCAAAACACGACGCGCTATCAAATCGATTCTGATTTCATTTTATAATTGAACAAGCGATCGGCCGCGACTTTGTTCGCGCGGAATCAAAAAAAAACTTAGTAGTCTATGTGTTCTTCCAGACTATGTGACGTAGAACACTACATCAATGCCAAATTTCATCAAGATCCGTTCAACCGTTCTGGAGATATCTTCAAACATCCATACACCTAAATATTCGCATTTATTAGTAAGATTAATAATAAAGAAACAAAACATAATACCTTTAATAAATTCCAAAACAAAAAGACGAATTCTTCAAGTGAAAATAATATTTCCCTTAAATATTCAGAGATATTCCGTCCCTTGATTCATTTTCATGGAATGCCAAGAGATTTTAATCAAGCATTTACATTGTCTGGAACGAGACAATTCAATATTGACATTATCTTTTTAGAAGAAAGGAAGCGACTCAGCTAGCTTATGGATATTTGAACCAGTCCTTTAAAATTAAATACTTAGTTATTTTGAGAAATAAATTTCATATCATAAAATGGCTTTTATTAGTTATAACGATAATGGCTGGAAAAAAAAAACTAATTCGGTAGCCAATGTGTTCGTCTATCCTATGTTCTACATCTATACCAAATTTTAGCGAGATCCATGGACCTGTTCCAGAGATATGTATAAACAAACATCCATCCATCAAGACATTCGCATTTATAATATTAGTAAGATTAGTTCATTGTTATAGCAGAAAATTCTGACATTTCACAATTTTATAGATGATGGATTCAGTCTTTTCGCTTTCCATGGCAAACTCAACGAGGAGATGGAAGGTCTTGAAGCGGGGCAATGGTCTCGTGATATAACGAAAGCGAAGAACGGAAGATGGACGTTCAGAGACAGAGATACAGCTCTGAAAATTGGCGATAAAGTATATTTCTGGACATACGTTATTAAGAATGGTCTGGGATATAGACAAGATAATGGTGAATGGACCGTTACAGGTAATTCAACTTTTGACTTCAGCCGAAAAATCTGTACGAAACCATTAGTTTTCTCTTTTCTAAGATCATGAGAAGGATATTAATATGTTCTTAGATCATTCGAGACTGCATCTAACAGTTACTTAGAAATAAATATAGATAGAATGTATTAATGTACTTAAAGCTGATCTTGTTACATCACAATCTGCAGGTTTCGTGGATGAAGAAGGTATTCCTGTAAACGATAATGGTACACCAATAGATGTCACAACACCAAGTCCTGTACCCACTGATACTAGCAACACAATCCCCACTGTACATCCAATGCCACCAACCATGCCAACTTGCGAATTGTCTCCAACAAAGGTGTCGATGCCAGGATTCGTTTGTCAAGGTCAATTACTTTTCGAAGACAACTTTAACGCCAAAATTGAAATAGGACAAGTATGGAAACATGAAATTAGATTTCCAGGAGAACCTGTAAGTATTAACACCTAGGGATTGCCCGCGACTCCGTCCGTGCGGAATTTAAAAAAGTAGCGTATGTATTCTTCTAGAGTATGTTCTATATGTATTTCAAAGTTCATCAAGATTTGTTCTGCTGTTCTGGAGATACCTTCAAAAAAATATTCGCATTTATAATATTAGTAAGATCAAGTAATTAACAAGTAAGTATTTAATTAACCGATGAAAAAAAATTGGTTCTGGAGTTTAAGAGGATGATAAGGAATTAGCCTCAATTCATGTTAAGTACCAACTAATCTGGTAATCGAGTTCATTCCAAGGTTTTGTCTTCTTTTTGTATGAATTAAAATATCGTCAAAGGTTCTAATTACAGGTTTTTTGGGATGTTCTCCGTCTTTAAATATTATTTTTCTATTTTAGGACTACCCATTTAACGTTTACATGGCAGAAGATAATGTGCGTGTGAACAATGGACATCTTTTAATATCACCGGTCACATTGGAATCTAAATATGGTGAAGATTATGTCAGGCAAACACTGGATCTTACAGCCAGGTATAAATATTTTAAAACCCACTACTCCAATTTAAATTCCTGATTTAAAAGTAGACACCAAAAAGAAGTCATTCTTTCATAGCATTTTTTATTAACCTTTCTTTTAATTGTAAGAGTTAGTGACTTCATGTGGAGTCGCGACTCATCAAGATTGTACGGCATAAGATGCATTTAGTCTCTATTTCCAAGTGAAGAGTGGATTTCAATCATCCTATTTGTTTATCAGGTGCACAGGAGTTCTAGGGTCGAATGATTGTCAACGTACAGCATCTGGTCCTCACATCCTGCCGCCTGTCATCACAGCAAAAATAACGACTAAGAGTAGATTTAACTTTAAATACGGCAAAATAGAAGTGCGCGCAAGAATGCCGTTCGGACATTGGTTGATACCAGGTTAGGAAGACATATGACCCTTAAAATATTTGGCTAAATTATAGGCTTAGGTACTAAAGTCGAATATCTGATTTTGTTTTTCATTATCTGTAAACATTTCAAACTTAGAATTACATCATTTTGAATTTGGAATCTACGCCTATTGTTTTTTTTTAGTAATATTAATTTAGTAATTCTTCAGTCAATTACTAATCCATTCCGTGCAAGTCGTTTAAGGCAAAACTTTTGTTACACGTATACTTCCTGGTTCTATGTTTGATGATTAATTAAATTTTCTTATAATATCCAGAGATACAACTAGAGCCTCGTGACAAAGTCTATGGAGTTACCAACTACGCATCTGGGTTATTACGAATTGCCACAACTAAGGGTAATCTTGAATCATCCAAGATATTGTACGGTGGTCCCATAATGAGTGAATCAGATCCATATAGGTAGGTATCTTTTTAATGTCTTTTTTCATTGAATATTGAGTCATAATTAATAGTTGAAATTACTTCTTTTATAATAGGTCTGCATATCTGAAACAGAAGATTAGTAATGACTACTGGGCAAGGGACTTCCATAACTATACTATGATATGGAGACCAGGTATGTGTTTGAATATTATTTAAACATGCTTAAGTTCTAAATAGAGCGTAAAGGCTTTTGCAGAATATCAGTGTTTTTCCCCCCGGGGTAATAAACATACAGCTGAGCAAAGGCCCTATCTGTTCTGCATTGCAACGCTTCATTGTAATTTCTTTGATTTTTTCTCTTTTTGATTGTTTTATAAGTGTTGTAATGTTTTTGAATGGATTAAATGTCTTATTATTATAATATTATTATTATACTATTATTAAATCGTAACGACACGTAATCTATTAGTTTTACTGAACATTAATATCCCAGTCGAATATAACATAAGATGTATAAATAAACTGATTTAATCGAAAGAAGTTTTAGACATTATTAGTAAGAATCCTTTGGCGCGAATGACGTGCTTTCGTTACAAAGTCCAGTGTCAGAATGAATAGTGGGGGGACATAAGCGTTGACATTTTAGTAAGGCTAGTGTTGAGTCAATACACTGCCACATTTTCGGATTTTCTTCCTAACAGTATAAGTGGAAGACAGTAAATCAAATATTTGCTTTAGAAAGCGCTTAATAAATTCATTTTTAAGTAAATATTTAATTTCTAAAAAGGCATTGTGTCGACGCTATTTTTACTAATGTATTGAAATTTCTACATTTTCTAAAATACAAAATATGTGTTTACCTATATTTTAGTTTAAATGCTCTAATTTTAATTATGTTATCATTAGATGGAATTACTCTTCTTGTGGACGGAGAACAATACGGAGAAGTGACGCCAGGGGAGGGATTTTTTGCAGAGGGAAATAATAACGTGACAGCGGCGCCGCAGTGGAGGAAGGGTACTGTAATGGCACCGTTTGATGAACTGGTATGGGAACAGACAAGAGATAATTAAAAAAATATATTTTTAAACCACCATTTTCTTACTGTCACATATTAGTAAAAATGACAGAATATTTCGCCATAACACTCCGAATGTCAGAAAATGTTGATTCTAGATGTTTAAAAGACTCATATCTTAAGGCAAAAAACTGTTTTTTCTTAGTTCTACATCTCGCTGGGTCTTAGTGTTGGAGGTATACATGAGTTTCCAGACGCTCTTAACAAACCTTGGACCAACGGATCCCCGAAAGCAATGCTCAAGTTTTGGAACTGCCGTGACCAATGGCTGCATACGTGGAACTCCGAATTTAATACTCTTAAAGTAGACTATGTTAGAGTGTTCGCGCTTTAAAAGGTAAATTACTCAACAAATTACTTTATCTTTTTTTGTTTGTGCTAGTCGTTAGGATTAAAAAACGATAGCCCTTACTACTGCATAATATGTTCGATGTTTAAACTGAAAAAAATATCCGTCAAAAAAAATTAATAATAAAAAAGTTTTTTTTTTATATTTTTGGCTTTTGTTATTTCTAAGTATGTAAAATTTACAATTTATGTTTTTGTTTTCTTTCTAGATTTATCAGAGACCTGAGTTTTCGCGTCACTACTAAATAAATTGAAAGATTAGTCAAAGAAAAATTAATTAAATGTTTATAAATAAAAATGGGTTTGTTTTATTTTTGATTCGCGTGTGTACAGAGCGACGGTGGCTCAGGGGTCAAGCATTTGACTTGCAATCTGCAGGTCCTGTCTTCGAATCCCGCCATGTATCAGTGTTTTTCGATTTCCGATTTGCATATGTACATTTATCCGACGTTCTTACGGTGAAGGAAAACATCGCGATGCAACCTACACATATCTGAAAAGAAATTCAAAGATATGTGTGAAGTCAACCACTTGCGTGTGCGGGTGCACTTGGCCAGCGTGGTTGACTATGGCCTAGTCACCCTTAACTTAGGGTAGGCTCCGAGCCTCTCGGTGGGGACCTGTAGTGAGCTGATGATGTGTATATTGGGATAGGATTTTTGGATATATAGTTTAACACTTTAACAATGTTTATTAAATTATCATCAGCTAATAGAAAATGCCAATATAAAACCTCTCAAATTATTTGATTCTTTGAACAGATATAAGTTTGACAATTTCTATTAAATTGAATTAAATCGCACAACCAGTTATAATCATTAAATCCTCTAATACAATGACTTCAAAATTGTCTTGATTAATCCAATTGTACTGTAAATATTGAACAAAAGATTTATTAATTAAATTAAATTTAATTTAATTTAAGGCCGTCGTTGAACACCACGGTGTTCCCGCTGCTCGTTTGCCCCTTCTGTTATAAAAAATAAAATCCTACTACTCAACACTCCATACCAACACGGTATTCGATAGCAATATTATAAAACGAAATAAAATTATTACTGCATACTCTGGATATGGAAGCGTTGTCAAAAGGTCAAAAGTAAATAAGATTAGTAGATTGTTATATAAACATTTATTTACTGTTATAGGTATTTAAATATAATCACACGAGCTGACGCCTGATACGTCTGCGTCTCTAAAAAAATCTTAATTAGTAGCCTTCAGTAGCTGCACATCTGAGACTGGGTTGGGACGGCGCATGCTCTGGGACAGTGGAGATTTGTCGGAGGCCAAGGCCAAGGGATCTCTGCGTTACCTTAGTAAGTTAGTAGCCTATGTGTTCTTCTAGGCTGTGTTTTATATATGCCAAATTACATCGATGTCTATGCAGCCGTTTGGGAGAGGAATATCCATCTATCCATCCCAACATTCGCATTTATAATATTAGTAAGATAAGATTATAAATGACTAACTCCGAAACGCAGAATCGTGTATTGCTTAATTAATAATTACTTTCATTATGACCCTATAGTAGTTATTTCACTGAGGATCCATTCTGACCTCACAAGTCTGATTCTGATTCCCCAAACTGATTTATCGAATGAGATGTACATAACTCTATTTGTGTTATATAAGAGTCATATGGTACAAAGAGGTTTATTATTTTCTTTTTAATTTACATGTTATGTTATTATTTATTGTTTCACAATAAATAAGATATGACCAAACTTTGATTACATAGTGTATGATCATTTTTCATATATTTCAAAAATATTATGTTATATTTGTGAGTTATTCCCAATAGGTTTCAGTAATACCCAGATAGATAAGGGTAGATATTTATAGTTAAACTAGCTATCGCCCGCGACCCCATCAAAGAGAAATTTAAAATAAAGTTAATAAGTAGACTGTGTTTCTTCCAGACTATGTTCTACATCTATGCAAAAATTTCAGCAATATTTATGCAGGTGTTCTGGAGATACCTACAAACAAACATCCATACATCTAAACATTCTCATGTATTATACTCTCATTCATAGTATTAAGAGCTTATCAATGCTTATGTCCGATAATAAACATTTAAAAAAATATATTTTGTACGCGTTTTTATAGTTTAGTCACCTTTAGAGAAATAACCGCATTTCTTTGAAATCGTTTGTTTATTACTTGTATTTTTATATTGCATAAAATTTCCTAGTTGGTTTTTGTTTTTCTTAGACAAAGATTTGTGTTAAATGGTGGTTCTTCTCAGTTAGGTGTGAAATATTAGACTTGACACGAGATAATTAGTGTCAAAAGTCTACTTATGAATTTCAAGATAAACGATAATAAATTAAAACTTAATAAAATGCTATTAGATTCTTCATAAAAATAAAAAGCTGTAATAATAAATTAATCGGCTATGATATTATACTGTATCATAGCACTCAAACAAAAAGAAATCCCCGATACCGCGTCATGCATAGCAAGAATAAGTTTGAGGTTATCAGCTTTAGTTGTACTATAACGCGACAGGTTAAAACCCACTGCACTTAATCCAATTTTTTTCACCTTACTAATATTATAAATGCGAATGTTTGAATGAATGAATGTTTGTTAGAAAATATCTCCAGAACTGCATTGATGCATGCATTGTTATTCTACAATATACTCTGGTAGAACACGTAGGTTACTATTAAATTATTCAAACTTTCGTGAGACATTATACTAAACTGATATATAAAAACGGCTAAACACTCACGTATATTTGTCCGGTGGCGCCACCGACTACTTTCGAACCCATCGGGGGCCCTTCATCAGGATGAGTGGTACTGGTATTATTTCGCGGACGCGGCCCGTCCCTCATCAGTGCCACTCATACTGATGAAGGGCCCCCGATGGGCACGAAACTAGTCGGTGACGACACCGTACTAATATACGTGAGTGTTTAGCCGTGTTTATATATCACTTAGGTTACTATGTTTTTTTTCGCGAGTTGTAGGCGAGAGATACAAAGTTTTTGTACATATAATAACAAATATTGTGACAATACTTTTCAAATTTTATGGACTACTCTGTCATTAATCATATGATTATTAAGAATATAGATAACAAAATAAAACGGACGGCTTACAATGTTTTCTAAAAACTTACTTACTAAAATTATAAAACGTTTGTTACGAATATTTGGTAAAAATTATGATTTCGAGAAAAGAATAGTTTGGTCGAAGCTTCATACTGCCGAACCACCGGATTTCCATTTAAACAAAATTAAAATTCCTCTTGGGAACCCTACCGTGCGACCGCAGCGATTTGGGGTCGATTTTTTATTTTTATTATTGATATAATTTAGTTTTATTTTTAGTTTGGTTTAGTTTTAGTATATAGTTTATAGTATTATTTTGGTAGTTTAATTAATTAGTTTTTTTTTAAACAAAGGATATTTCTCACAAAGAATAACCAGCAATGAACTACGATCCTGCCCAATGTTAGTAAATACCTAAATTTCGTTCCAGACCAGAAAAAACTCGAGTGACGAATTTGCGTTAGTCAAGTTACACCAGTTTCATCACAAAGTCGGTACGGTCATCACAAATGAGACGTAAGCAGTAGCAAAATGGCCGTCGCGGCTACAACACGTTGCTCCGTTATTGTGTTATTCTGTATGTCACAAATCGTCAGTTCGCAAAATGAATACAAATTTCCCGATGTCACGATACAAGCATTGAGCCCGAAAGGAATAAGGATCTTTATACCAGGTATTTTTAATTAATTATATTAGTTATAAACATTTTATTAATAGCAAAATTCATAGTAAAACTATCAACTATGGGCAACATAATAAAAATCTAAAGTTTAATGTTGTTTAAAAATATGTTCACAATCTTTTATTTAGGATTCGCTATCGCCCGCAACTCTGTCTGCGCGGAATTAAAAAAGTCTAATTAAGTAGCCTATGTATTCATTCAGACTATGTTATACATCTGTGACAAATTTCAGCGAGATCTATATAGCCGTTCTGGAGATACCTTCAAACAAACATCCATCCAAACATTTGCATTTATAATCTTATACATTAGTTACAAAGACAAAAAGTACAAAACTGCATATCTTATTATCTTACTTCTTATCTTACTAATATTATAAATGCGTATCTATTTATGGATGGATGGATGTTTGTTAGAAGGCATCTTCAGAACAGCTCAACGGGTCTCGATGAAGTTTGGCATAGATGTAGAGTATACCCTGCAAGAACAAATAGTTAGGCTAAGTTTTTTAGTTCCTTGCGGACGGAGTTGCGAACGACAGCTAGTAAAAATTGCAAATCTGACAAACATTATTTTAATTTTATTTGTAAAGATTTATCAGATCTCTTCAAATGAAATGGTCTCCAAGTTTGGCAACTCTAAAATGTATTTCTTCCCAAAACAATTGGCATGTCCTTTAATTCTGACCTCAATACATAAAAACTTATCGGCACAAAACGATCATGATTCGAATCCCGTTACAGTTTAATGGGACACAGTACATCGTGCATTTACTTGTTCTGATATAATGTTATAGTTTACCATTGATCATAAAATGTTTTCGTCAAAACTGCTAAAAATTAAATCTCATCATCAGCTCACTATACGTCCCCACCGAGGGGCTCGGAGCCTACCCTAAGTTAGGGGTGACTAGGCCATAGTCAACCACGCCGGCCTAGTGCGGGTTGGTTGACTTTACACATATCTTTGAATTTCTTCTCAGATATGTGCAAGTTGCATTACGATGTTTTCCTTCACCGTAAGAACGTCGGATAAATGTATATATGCAAATCGAAAATCGAAAGACAGATTGGTGCATGGCAGGATTCGAAGCCCGGGAAGGACCTGTAGATTGCAAGAGCTTGACTCCTGAGCCACAGACGCTCTTAATTAAATCTAGCAAGTAATAAACTTCTGATTTTAATTAGCATCATATTCCTTAACTTTCAGATAATACAAAATTAAGTTTATTTGCTTTCAACGGAAAAATAAACCAGCCAATAAATCAGAATGATGTTGGTGAAATTTCTGCTGAAATTACTGCACCGACGAATGGCATGTGGATTTACGAAGATTCTAATCTAGAACTTAAAGTCGGTGACGTTATCAATTACTATGTATTCGTAGTATACGATCGAGCAGGATACGTTAAAGATAAACTCAGATTTACTGTAACAGGTAAGTTGAAAAATTATTTATCATTACCATTTATTTCTAAAGAAATCCTGCGAGTTCAATTTCAACTTCCATGAAGGAAACCTCAGAAATCTTTGTTGAGCAATTCTATACCTTCAACTCTCATGTACCGCAATAATTTGCAATTAACCAATCAGTATGACAATGAGAAATATTTTAGTTTAAGACCTCGTTCTATAGCTCTTAAAATTTTAAATTTGGTATTATTTTTCAGAATTAGTAAGTCCAAGCAGTCAATCAAGTACGATAAGACCCACGGAATGTCGGCCAACAGTGACAAGACTACGAGTTGGCACCGCGTGCTCTGGCCAGACGATATTCGAGGACAACTTCAACAACCTGCGTGAGGATGTGTGGCAGATCGAGCAATATATACCAGATCAGCCTGTTAGTGTATCAACTGATGTTTAAGACCATTTTCCCATTATCCCATTTTTCCGCAAAATAGCCAGCTATGACAATTTTTGGCGTTTTTTCGAAATATTTTTAAGAATCGTATTGTCTTCCACTTAAATACAATTATGTCCAAACAAAAGTAATATTTAGCTAGTTGCATCTTATTAATTTTGAATTTTATTTCTACATATAACGTTTAAACTATTTAGTCATATCATTGTGATCGTTTAATAACCGTACGCATACATTTTCCAGGAATATCCGTTTGTGTCATATCAACGACCACCAAATGCGCAGACAGTGACCGTGGATAACGGAAATTTACGCATTGAGCCGAAGCTGCAGCAAGAACAAGATGGATTCAATGAAGAATCTTTGTATTCCGGCATCCTCGACCTCTTCAGCGGGTATTTAGTATAAAATTATAGCTACTACGGCGTACAAAACTTTCCAATCTGAAATCCTAGATGTATTCAATTTGTTGTAGGTGTACGAGAACAGCAGAGTCGTGCAGAGTGGCAGCAATGGGTGCTAGTATACTGCCGCCGGTGGTGAGCGGCCGACTCACGAGCAAATCCTTTGCGTTCACGTACGGCATAGTTGAAGTCAGAGCAAAACTGCCACAAGGAGATTGGCTTTATCCAGGTTATTATTTTATGATTGTTTTTACATCTACATATTGCTGGGATGCAAGATAAACTGCAGTTTCAGTAATTGTTGCTTTAGTATATCTCCGTACAGCTTACTGCAATTATCATTTTTGCAATGGTTTTTGTTTTCATTTTATTTGAGAACTATTTCTTTATTTATCCTTTCAGAAATTTTACTAGAATCTTTGCTTCAAAAGTACGGTACACCTAAATATGCATCGGGCGTAATTAAAATCGCAGGAGCTCTTGGTAACAGAGAACTCAGACTTGGACCTGATGAATACGGAAATACGGTGAGTTTTGAAGAGTGGAAGATGTCAGCAAACGAAAAAATGCAAAACTATAAGTTATTGTTGATACTGTTTCAGATTTTGTATGGAGGTCCAATAATGAACTTAGCATGTAGAGAAGTTCTAACAGGTCGAAAGGAGTTGTTCAACGGACCTCATTGGGGGGACAATTTTCATGTTTACTCAGTACAATGGACACCAGGTACTGTTCCTTATTGTTCATTTAATTTAGGAGATCATTTACCTCTGATTATCTCAAAGATGTAATGGAGTACCTTGTATATTATAGATAAAATGACCTTCAGTGTGGATGGTGAAGAGTGGCTGCGTGTGGAGCCGACGGCGAGCGGTCTGAGCGGCCGCTTTAACCGCTTCTGCGATATTCCTCGCAGATTCCTGTCTTTTGGAACTAAGATGGCGCCTTTTGATGACCATGTAAGTACTACTTTTACTTTACAAATATTGCTCTAACCAATCAGTCCAGCGTTTGCTGGGTATGGATTTTTCTTACAGTAAATGTAAAAACAATCATTTATACTTTTTTCATTCGATTCCAGTTTCAATTAACGCTGGGGGTGAACGCTGGAGGAATCACAGAGTTCAAAGATGACGTCATCACAGGCGACGGACATCCGAAGCCCTGGAATAACAGGAACAGGAAAGCTAGCTACAACTTCTGGAGAGACTTGCCCTCTTGGCAACCGACATGGCGTCAGCCCGCTCTACTAGTGGATTATGTCAAAGTCATAGCTTTATAACAAAATAAGGGATAATAAAGTAACAAATAATAAAATAGAAATTTATTTAGTTTGTTTTTTTTTTTTTTAAGTTATGAAATAATTTCAGCATGACATTTTCATAGAATTAAATGAAAGGAAATTTGTCACATAAACGAAAATCCAATGCTACGTTGAAGTATGTAATATAAAAATCAAAATTTATCATTTGTTTAATTTTTCCTAACTAAAGGTCTCGTAGGAATTCCCGATGCAACGTCACGTAGAATAAAAATAATTTGAGGTTATCAGCTTATCTACTTTGTGGTTGGTTAAAACCCAATATTGTTTAATACAAAATTTACAATTAAGAAAACGATAAGTGGGAAATTTATACAGCTGTAAATACCATTAACAACTATAATAAACAGTCAGGATTTGGCTAGATATGGTGCGCTGAAGACCACATTATGTGGAAGACAGTCGGGAAGCCCCTCGAACACAGGATGATGATGATGATAACGAAATACCATTGTAATTCAAAACTAAAGAAAAAAGATAGGACCTTGGTTTCTAAGACAAAAATCTTTGAATAAAACATATCGCCATCCCTATCATTATCTTTGACAAAACAGAGATAGCAACCGGTTTTAAACGGGAATTTTGGTCCCGGAACCCCACGGTAAAATGTACTATTGATCTTGTTTAAGATACAAATATATGGTTATCAAGTATTCATAACTTGAAAACTTCTCGAAAAACCTCCGAAGGACTAATCCTTTCTTTCCCTTCTCACCCTTTTTTGGGAAGTGAATCTGATGGAAGAAGCGACGCGAAATTTCCTTCCTATGAGTCTCTTCCCCCGTCGATTAAAGTTAGGCAATGGAGATGTCTATGGGCAGCGGACGCTGGTGACATTTCGGCAGATGGCTGTTTGCTCGTTTGCCATCATATAGCAAAAAAAAGGTATAATCACTTATTCATGCACACATCTTAAAAGAAATTAAATGCATTAACCACAATAAAATCCCCAAGAAGATTCAATTCACTGATTTATTTGTTCGAGTTAATTCTTCTGCAGACTTCACATACAATTTTATCACAAATAAGGCCGGCTATTGTGACGGAATCAGTATTAAAATGGCCGTCGCAGCATCAATACGTTTTGTTCTAGTGTTAACGTTTCTGTCAATAATTCAAAGTTTACCACGACCAAAACTGACCATCCAAGCCTTATATCCAAAAGGTTTACGTCTTTTAGTAGAAGGTTAATTTTCTTTATAACATTCAATAAAGTGAGATTTCGTGGATAAAAATTGTGATAACATTATGACTATTAATTTAAATCAAAAGACAATATTTAATGCTTAAAGTTAAGGTGATCTGTTTATAAAAGATAATAAAACTACGGCAGAATTTGAAAGTACATTTTTTAATTGTGAAAAGAAAAGCTTCTCAAAGTAAAGGAATTTATTAATCCCATTTATGAGTTCTGAGCTTGTTTTTATTTCATACCGTATATTTAATTTCAAAGATGTGCAAAATCAGCGTTATCATTTTTCTGCTGTAGATGCCAGCTCAGTGACCGAGTTATCTATACTCTAATTATGATTTTTTATAACCTTTTATGTACAGAATTACTTAAGTTAATCTGTAACTTGATAAGAAGTGACTGTCCTCACATTAGGTTTACCAAGGTACCAACCTTGCACCAGCAACAGCTAACCCACCGTTGGTCTTAAAGAAAGAAAGAACTTGGTATGTATAATAGTATAAATTATTCTATTTAACAAAAATAATTCTTTAGTTTTAGATGATTCTACGCTACTAAATTTCAACTTCAAAGGCAAAATAAAGAGAGCAAACAGTACTTCTGATGATAATGAAATTAATGCCAAAGTAACAAAACCTACGAACGGTAGATGGCTTTATGAAGATCCGTGCTTAAAGTTGCATTTTGGTGACGTCATAAATTATGAGTTTGAGTGTCTGCAACAATATTACAATTCATTAAAAATGTACGTGGCTATGAATATCAAGCATACTGTAGAAAGTAAGTAACTTTCCAATTTTAGAATTTCTTAAACGAAATTCTATATCAAAACTATTCCAACATATAATATTTTGACAGTGGTAGAGCCCGCTTTAACATCTTCGCACGAATTGTCCCGGCTCGCCCGGTGATATACCACGACCACACAGAAGACAGGCGTCAAGTGGAAGCAATTCCGCGTTTCGTCGCCTAATTTAGTCATCTTTCCCTTCCCATCGTTTTTCTTATAAGGAATGGATGGGAAGTGGAAGTGGACTTTCCGGATGAGATGATGCATGGAAAGGGAAAACATTTTCTTTCTGTGCATCCTCTCCTCCGTCGATTAAAGTTAGGCAACGCATATGCAATTGCGTATGTCTATGGGCAACGGTCACTTCGCCATTTCAGCGATTTCAGGTGGCTGATCGCTAGTTTGCCACCTAATAATATAAAAACAATATATTGTTGAGCATTTTTATATGTTGTTCTCAATTGCTTGATGCATTATTCTTGGCTTCTTTATTCCAGGCCTTGTAGTACACGACGATACGTGGAATTGTTCTCCCACCGTGACACGACTGCGTGTCGGCACCGCGTGCGCTGACCAGATAATATTTGAGGACCACTTCAACAGCCTCAACGAGGATTTGTGGCAAATTGAACAATACATACCTAATGAACCTGTAAGCTGTTGCTGATTTGACTAAGATCTGATATGATTTGATAGTTTAATGATTGATAATTTTTTCCAGGAATACTCGTTTGTATCGTATCAACGACCGCCCAAAGCGCAGACAGTGAGGGTACATGAGGGATATTTGCGGATTGAGCCGAAACTCCAACAGGAACAAGATAACTTCAATAATATATCTTTGTGCACTGGCTCACTCAATCTATTTTGCGGGTATTTAAATATTAATAAATTTAATAATATCTTGCCGTTTTTACTTCTTGTATTGTGTTACTTTGTACTGCGTGCATAAGTACGTACTCTTTATCGGATTAACTTTGTTTATATCATCTTTGTTGCTGCAAGGTGCACGAGAACGGCAGAGTTGTGCAGTGCGACCGCGATGGGCGCTAGCATTCTGCCACCAGTGGTGAGCGGCAGACTCACAAGCAAGACCTTTGCGTTCACGTACGGCGTTATTGAAATCAGAGCGAAACTACCGCAGGGAGATTGGCTTTACCCAGGTTATTTCAATTTACTGCTCTTAGACCATAGTTTGCTTAGTATAATAAATGTAGATGTGATGGCCAATTGTTTCACTGTTTCCATTTCTTTCGCCACAATCGCTGTTGTTGCTTTTGCGTCTATTGCGCCAATAGATTTTGTCACATTTACAATTGCTATTGCTGTGGCCAATAAAACACCACCGTCACATCTGACGTAAAATTTATATTAGGAAAGAGATGGGCTATTATTGTTTTAACTTCTTTTTCAGAAATTATACTTGAGCCCTTACTTAAAAAGTACGGCACCCCAAACTACGCATCTGGAGTAATAAAAATAGCATCAGCACTCGGCAACCATGAGCTCTGTGACGGACCAAATGAACATGGAAATAAGGTTAGTTTGAATATCAATAAAACTGAGCAATTGATGTCTTGGGAGTCATGGAGAGATATTTTTGCTTAAGCGCCTACTGTTTTTGTTCGATTCAAATCGCATAAAAGAAAAACTCATAATCTTGCTTATTATTTTTTAAACGAAACATTTAACAGATATAAAACATTGGTGTTTTATCTATTCTAGGTTTTATACGGAGGTCCTATAATGAACACGGCGTGTCGAGATGTTCTGACAGGTCGTAAGGAGTTGTATAATGGATCAAAATGGGGTGACGACTTCCACGTGTATACAGTGCGGTGGACACCAGGTAAAAAACCACTTTTGTATCAATATTTTTAGGTGATTGAATAATTTTTGTACTTCTTTTTATGCAAAGTATTTAAATTCAATTACTGATTGAGCTTAAGGAGTAAACCATACTTTCAGACTTGCTAAGCTTTGAAGTGGACGGTGAGGAGTGGCTGCATGTGGAACCGACGACGAACGGTCTGAGTGGCCGGTTCAATCGCTTTTGCGACATTCCACGTGTATACTTATCTCAGGGTACTAAGATGGCACCTTTTGATGACCACGTAAGTACCATCGTCACTTTTTTTTATTATATCATAAGGCGGCACCCGAGCGAGCGGTCACATGAAATCGCTAAAATAGCGAAGGGACCGTTGCCCATGGACATACGCAATTGCATATGCGTTGCCTACCTTTAATCGACGGAGGAGAGGATGCACAGAAAGATTTTCCCTTTCCATGCATACTCTCATCCGTAAAGTCTACTTCCACTCCCCATCCTTTCCTTATAAGAAAATGGGTGGGAAGGGATAGAGGACTAAAATCGGCCTCCGGGACGCACACTCATCAGACGAAACGCGGAATTGCTTCCACTTCACGCTTGTCTCCTGTGTGGTCGTGGTATGTCAGGGCACACAGGGCGATCCGGGCCAATTTGTGCGAAGATGTTAACTACTGTAAAACACTTTCCAAACATAACTTTTATTAAATTGGTTGAACTAGGATGGGAAGTGAAAATGGATTTTAGTGGATGAAAGGATGCATGGGAAGGGAAAATATTCTGTGCGCATCCCATACTCCGTCGATTAGAGGTAGGCAACGCATATGCAATTGCCTATGTTTGTGGGCAACGGTCGCTTTGCTATTTCAGCGATTTCATGTGGCCGCTCGTTCGTTTGGCACCTTATGATATAAAAAATTGGTATCTTTAACATCTTTAGCCTGGTGGACCTATCAGTGTGTCAAGTTATTTTATCGATTTCCAGTTTCAATTAACGCTGGGCGTATCTGCTGGAGGTATCACGGAGTTCAAAGATGGCGTCATCACAGGCGACGGACACCCAAAGCCCTGGAAGAATAAGAACAGGAAAGCTAGCTACAACTTCTGGAGGGACTTGCCCTTCTGGCAACCGACATGGCATGAGCCCGCCTTACTTGTGGATTATGTTAAAATTACTGCTTTGTAATAAAACAATTGATAAAATAGTTTTAGAAAACTAACTGCCTGTATCGGTTATCCAGAATCTGTGCCCTACACAAAAAAGCATTCGCTCCGGAACGACTCCATAACCAACTTCAAACATACATAGAACTGTTAATAACTTTAAGGTCACCACGAGCTTTATCACGAGTGAGACAAAAGTATGCTTTACATACGTTTATCTTACTCTTAAGCGGACTGCGGAACGTTGTTCATGCGATTCCGGATTATGTCTAAATTAGCTGTTGCCCGCGACTCCGTCCCTGCGAAATTAAAAAAAAAACTAATGAGTAGTCAGACCATGTTCTACGTCTGTTCAGCCGGAACCGTCCAACCGTTAAGCATTACAGCTCGGCGAGATGAAATTCTTTGTGAAATCTTTTGTATGAAAAATAAATAAATAAAAAAAAAACCGTTCTAGAGATACCTTCAAACAAACATCCATCCATCCCAACATTCGCATTTATAATATTAGTAAGATGAACTTCTAGACCCCAGTTTACAATCCAACGGACATCAGTCGGGTAAAAGACATAAGCTCATTTAAGTATTAGGTTATTTTAGTAATTATTTTTTGCTCAATATTGAAATGTCGATATAAAACATGACTGCGTCATGAATGACGTCACGCGGCACGTTATCGGCTTTGACGTTTATAACTCTTGCGTATATCGGATCTAAAATAAACTTGATATTTAGGTTTCAATCGAAAATGTTCGCTTATTTTATAATATTATTACACACTAGCTGTAGCCTGTGAGTCCGTCCGCGTAAAAAAACGTAATTAGTAGAACTAATTGTTCTTACAGACTATGTTCTACATCTATGCCAAATTACAGCGAAATCCATGCAGGCATTCTGGGGATACCTACAAACAAACATCCATCCATCCAAACATTCGCATTTATAATATTAGTAAGATTTGATATCGCAGATAGCGTTCAACCACGCCATACCAACATTAAGCGATAAATCAGATTACAATAATTTACTTTAAGACATGCAAATTCTTTACAACAAATTCTCTTTATGACGAATGAAACGTCGCCGTAAAATTGTGAAGTTTTTCCTTTTACAATCAGACCAACATAAAGAAGTATAGAAAGACATTGAACTATATATTAAAAGACAGGAACACACGAAACTGCTGTGCTGTTGTGGGACCAAAAAATAATTTTTAAACTTATTATTATCTCTGTTTTATCAAAGATAATGACAGAGATGAGGATATGTTTGATATATGGATTACATGGAGAATATTTTTTGGTGCTGGATGCCTAATTTTAAACCTCGTCCTCTACTGACCCTTTTCTTAGGCAAGGATAAAAAGGTGAAGTCGCTTTGATGGAGGAGTGGCACAGGAAGGGGAAATATTCTATTTTAAAGGTTGACACCGCATCTGCAATTGTGGACGTCTATGGAAAGCGGTCATGTCGCTATTTCGGAGAACCCAAGTGGCTTTCCTTCGCCATCTAATAAAAAAAATCAGTGATTTTGTTTTTAGAAACCCACGGTTAATCTTCTCTAGTTCCCTAGCATTCTCACTGTGATGGTATCAGGACTATCACGTGAATCTATTAAGGCAAGCAATGTGATAACAATTCGCTTCATCTGAATACTAGACGAAGGCCAATGGAAAATAGTCGGTTGGAGTTTTCTATTCCCGGCCGCCGGCAACGCATAATTTTTAAATTTGTTTACACGACGCCGCTCCGACCGCCCCGGCTTGTTTATACGACATTAATAATACATTTCGATAATTTCCCAAGTAATTTATCTTTATTTTATCGTAAAAAGCATGAAGGCCGCTATTATAATACCTATAGATCCTACGCTATCGATTTTAGGATCGATTAGAAAACGTTTAACGGTGTCTTTCTAAGACCAAAATCTCCGTTTAAAACACATCGTCATCCCTGTTGTCTATAACATGTTAGATATAACAATATGTTTTAATCGGGGATTTTAGTCTAAGATCTACGGTTAATTTGCAGAAATTTTAAAAGCAACTATACATCTTACTTCTTACTCATCATCATCAACCTGCCCTTATCCCTATCGAGGGTCGGCACTTTATGTACTACTCCTCCATACATCTCTATCAGCCGTCATATCCGAGTCTACCCCCTTCTTACGCATATCCTCTTTCACACAGTCATTCCATACTTACTTATCTTACTTCTTACTAATATTATAAATGCGAAACATATCGTTATCTCTATCTTGTTAAAGATAATGACAGAGATGGCGATATGTTTAATGTACAGTTTTTGGTGTCAGAAACCCACGGTAAGAGTATATAAACATAAATGAAAAATATATAACAAGCTTTTATGTGAAAATTATAAATATGATGAAAAGTAAGTTCCGTTTCATGTATTGAGAACTGATTTATGATTTTTTCACATTTTGTGCCAAGATATTTTTGATTTACGAACACGATTAGACGGAAATAAACGTGTCAAAGATTTTTTTTAATTTACTTTTTTTCAAATATGTATTATAGTCAATAAAAGATATTTCAAGTAAAAAGGTTTATAATTTTAAATTCATTCAACCAATTCTACGCTTTGGTCATAGTAAAGTTTTTCCAAGTTAACTAAAGCAACTTTTTTTTTAATTTTTAATTTTTTGTTATCGAAACATATGTCATATTAAATTTTTTTATAATCTTATCATGTTTATACTTCTTTAAAGTTATGATGATTCTTTGTATGGCTTGAGTTATACAGCGTAGAGCTTTCCCTCGTCTTAACTAATCTCGCAAATGTTAGCTTTCCAAGTAAAGTTTAAGTCGATCCGTGAAACTTGAAACCTGTGAAATACGAGTTAACCGGCTTTATAAATCTCTATATAATCTTTAATTGTTTGTTGTAAATTAAACGTTTAATTATTTATTACTTTATGACTTTGATTTTCTGACTACTAGAAAAATCTTTTTACGATTCATAAACTCACTATTTTTTTAAAGTATTTCGGGAAGTGATTTTTCCATGACTCCGTTTCACATTTGAAGTGACAAATTATACTGATGTAATGTACTGAATTCTTCAGATTATTTAATTGAAAAACGTAACTAAAAATAAAATATATAACTCTGTATTGTTCAATCATAGCAATGATATTCCACGCTTAAAGCTGTCCTGTACAGGCTTTATCTGGCTCTCGGGCCGCTGAGCTGAAACAGGCACCGACTATTATTGCTATAATCAAATCCCTTCGGTTATTATCCATGCAGAGCAAAGCTTTGACGAAGCTCTCACACGAATTAGTCGCATTAAAAACTACTACGGTCGCGCAAATCCGATGCAACAAGTAAGCTCGGGGGCGCCGGCGGGGCACGGCCGGGGAGAGGCGGGGCGCGCCTGAAAACTGAAACGTTCAGTATCGCCGCGACCATGGCCACGGACGGACGCACGAAGCGCTCGCAGTCGATATGCGCGCCCGCCTCCGCGAGCATGGAAGCGCTAGCCGCGCCGATGGAGACGACGCCGGCGCCGCGACGCAGGCCGGCCGCGCGCTCACAGTCGGCGCGAATCACCGGCGGTCGCAGCGTACGCCACCGCCGCCAGCAACAACAACAACAGCAGTTGGACCGCGAAACTCGCTCGCGCTATAGCTCAGAGCCGCGGCTGGCCGACGCTGAGACCCCGCCGCAGGTGCGCCGGCAAGCGTCGGCTCGCCGCCGCCCCCCGACATCCCAGCACTCCGCACACGCCCAGCCGCGCCGCTCCAACGCCTTCCTGGACGTGCCACGCGCCGCGCACCCACCCGAAGAGGAACCCGACGAGGACTCGTACCGGCTCCGCACGTTCAACACCACGCAGAAAGGAGGTCAGTGCTACGACGTTCATTCACCTCCGTAATGTTTAATTTTAAACACGTGACATGATCACCTTTTTTAATACGCAAAGAAAATTTTGGCAATCGTCCGGAGCGGTCTGCGACGGAGTGTTTTCCCTCGAGATGGGTCGCGGTGTGCCACGATCGGACCGAGTGTGTGGTACACACTACACAATGTGTGCAGTACGGACGGTCACGACTCTGAGTTTTCGTGAATCATCCACGAGTGTTTGGTTTACGAGGGCGACATAAATCAGAGCCGATACAAGCTTTCGCGTTTACTTTTGAGGTAAAAATAAATCTGGCCGACGGTGAAACTGTAAACATCATAAAATCTGCCAGAGATTTTGAGGTTTTAATAAAATTATACAATTCACCTTTTTCATCTTGGCATTAATTATTTGCGGTCGATCCGATAGACAATTCAAAGATGTTGCAAACTCTACTCGTATGCCTAACAATGCTGAGGATATACGGACTCTACATAATTTCCGTTAATTATTAAAACGAAATTATATTTGGTGGTCAGTCCCCCAATTAGTATTCCAGAATCGAGACCAAGAATGCATCAGTTTTTTAATTAAAGTTGACATATGGAAAATAAATTCCCCACAAAGAAGATTTTCTTGCAGTTGAAGCTTTATCATAATATTTGCTGAATATTAACTTTGATGATTTTATTAATCCGAATGCTGAAGTTTCAAAGTTTTCCTAATTATTATTAAGGAAGATTTATTAACAAACTTCCAAACTCCAAATCTTAATGGGTGTAAAATACAATTTAATAAGATTTGCCAAGTTGAAAATTGGTTTGTCCTATAATTGAAATAACAGAGGTTATCAACCTTTCGAATAATATTTATTATAAATTCAACATTACTACTTAATTAAATTTATATTCTGTATGTATATTATCATTAATGTATAAAATACAAGCTGTAGGCCTGACTTTGCTCGGGTAGTTCATTTATTCAATCATTACATCTATACTAATATTATAAAACAGAACAGTTTGTTTGTTTAATCGCGCTAAACTTAGGAACTATTGGTCCGATGTGAAAAATTATTTTTTTGTTGGATAGTCCATTTAGGGAAGGCTTTAGGCTATATAACATTACGCTGCGCCCAATAGGAGCGAAGCGTCACTAAGTTTTGTCTTTTTAAATCAGCGCGCGGGCGAGGACGCGTGCTACAGCTTGTAACAAAATAAAGTAGAGTCAATGTTTGTTAAGGAAAAATCGGTCTAGTAGTTTTTGAGCGTATTAGGTACAAACATACAGAAATAAAAATCGTTTCTCCATACTTAAGTTTACTTACATGAAAGAAATAACATTAAATAAAAAATATGTTTTTTCACTCGACAAATTATTAACATACTATATTAAGTATTATGCAAAAGTATTTTTAGTTCTATCAAGCTACGATAATTTATTTTTCGGGAAAGTAAAACATATCAAGGCAGGGTATTCGGCTTAGTAACAAAAATTACGTCATAGTTAATTCCTAGAACACTGAAAGATCCCCTTGATGGTTATTACCGCCTTCACTGCTTAATAGGAAATTAATTAATTTTAACGGCTAATCATTTTATTGTAGTGTAATAACAACCACTTATTTTTGGCATTAACTTTATCATTAGTGTACTGTGGCACGAAAACGGATGTTTCTTAAAAGGTATCTTTAGAACGACTGCATGCATCTAATTGTAATATAGCATGGATGAAGAACATAGTCTGGAAGAACATATAGGGTACTAACGTCTATATTTCTCGCTGACGGAGCCATGGGCGACAGCTAGTATGAATATAAAAATAGTATAACATTAAAACAATTAAGAAATTTCTTGTATTTGACACAATACGTTACATTCAAAAATAAAGTTTACAATTTGCCTTATTACATGTCTAGTGTGTTTACACATTGTCCAAATTAACAATCTGTCGGTAACACATGTTTGATATAACATTTTATAAATTTCCTTGACGCTCGACGAGACGTAATACAAATGGTTTATAATCTAAAAGGCGTACGAATACATTACAAGAAAATGGTTTTAATATTAAAATGTGATTTCGCAAATGTGTTGCGGTATAAAAAAATATTCGCCAAATGAAGTGAGGAATAATTTAATAAGAACCCCTCATGTTTTTATTACAAATGGTTGAAAAAATAAAATATGTTTTCGTTTGAATTATCAAAGGAGACATGTCTCGCAAAATAGATTGTTCTGTTATCAAAATAATAGAAAACCCGAAAAAGGTCGAAACCTTTTTAAAAAAAATAGCAATGTACGCTACAAAATCTACGTAGTTGTTTAGACTACCACTCGCAATATAGTTTACCTAACTATAGACTTTAAAATATTACCCTCAGTCAACCAAAATACATTGAAGAGAAGTTGAGAGAAGGTTTTTTCAATCTTACTATCTTACTTCTTACTAATATTATAAATGCAAATGTTTGGATGGAAGTATGTTTGTTCGAAGATATCTCGAGAACGGCTGTATAGATCTCTCTGAAATTTGGCATTGATGTAGAACCTAGTCTGGAAAAAGACATAGGCTACTAATTTTGTTTGTTTTTTTCCGCCAGACAGAGTCGCGAAGCGACCGCTAGTTTTGAATAATTGCAGGAGAACAGTGGTAGATTCGAACATCAACATCTTTTGCACGAATGGGCTCGCCCGGCAGTACCACGACCACATAGAGCACACGCCTCAAGTGGAACTAATCCCGCGTAGTCTAATGAGTACGAGGCTGTCGACTAATTTTAATTCTCTTTCCCTTCCGTCCGTTATCTTATAAGGAATGATTAGAAAGGGAAAGTGGATTTAACTGCGGAGCAGATAATAGGAGGAAATATTCCTTTTCTGTGCGTTGACTCTTCCGGAGCCCAAACGATCGCTTCTGCGATTTTTGGTGGCCTTTTACTAGTAAGGAAAGTTAACGTATAAAAAAAGCTAAAACTCTTAAAATCAATAATCTCAGTTACTATTCTTCTTCTTCGTCGTTGCAGTCTTGTCACACTGGTCGTGGTCATCACGTATCAGTGACCCGCTTTACCAGGCAGTTACTAGAAGAAAACATTAATTTGGTCGTTCACATAAAAATTTGATTTGTGCGTCCGTGTTATCAAATTGCTCTGTTGACAGTGAGTGAGCAAATATAATTTTAATTTGCGTCATTTGTGGATAGCGGGAAGAGTCTCAAAATGTTAATTTTATACCTGATTTTCTATATTAACTGTTGAGTATAATATTATTAGTGCGTCGGTAGACCAGGGGTTAGCTTGCAATCTGTAGATCCTGGGTTCAAATCCCGCCATGTATCAATGTGTTTTTTTGATTTCCGATTTACATATGTACATTTATCCGACGTTTTTACGGTGAAGGAAAACATCGTGATGCAACCTGCACATATCTGAGAAGAAATTCAAAGATATCTGTGAAGTCAACCAACCCGCACTGAGCCAGCGTGGTTGACTATGGCCTAATCACCCTCTACTTAGGGTAGGCTCCGAGCCCCTCGGTGGGAACGTATAGTGAGCAGGTGATGATAATATTAAGCCCTCTACACACCTTGGTGTTTAGCAAGCTTTAATCTAACGAATAAGATTATTCAAAATTTAACAACAGAAATAAAATTTTTGGAATTAACATATATAAAACAGTATGTTATTTTTCTATAACTTTAACGGTATGTTAAATAGTTTTTTATCTTATATATAAAATTCTCGTGTCACAATTTTCGTTCCCATACTACCCCGAAACGGCTTGACCGATTCTCATGAAATTTTGTGAGCATATTGAGTAGGTCTGAGAATCGGCCAACATCTATTTCATAATACGGCGCGGACGGATTCGCGGGCGACAGCTTGTATACTATTATGATATAACACTCTGACAGCTAAGGTCAAACAAATAGAACCTTTCAACCTCAACCTCGTTTCAACCCTTGTTATTATTTTATGATAGATTGTATTTTGACGGGTCACCGTGCATTATTATGTACTTTATATACTTGTTTTCTTCTCCTACATTCGAGTTTTTAAGTTAAAAACCATTTAATAAGATTGTTAATTTTCTAATAAACAAAACGATTAATGAGAAAATATTAAAAATAAAAAAAATACATCTGAGTACACTATTTTGGGATAAAATCGCAGCGGCATTGAATGTGTTAAAGAGTTATTTAAATATATTTTCAATAGCATTAACTTATAGTATTCATATTCACTAAAATATGGTTAAAGTAACGCGTTAAATACAGAGCGAGCTTTTCGTAGCAAAGCTCAAGTGAAGCTTTGCAAGTCTCAACTATGTTGGAGCGCAGTTCCGTGAGCATTAAGTGAACTTTCTTGAGTTAGCACAAAGACTGACTTGTTAACATTCATATTTAAATAGAGAACATAACTTGTTTAAATCATTTTAAATATTTAGAAATAATACAAGATTTTAAAATTATACGCGCCTAGCAAAATTCAAATAGCAAAATCTTTTGTACGGATATTTCGGAAGAAACTCAGTCATATTATTTTCTCAAATCTAATCTATTTATTCATTACTATTCTATTTAGAACTGTAATCATATATTTCAACCCTTCGGTAAGTTTCCATACCGAATTAAATGTAAAGGCTCCCGACCTTCACGCAGAAACCCCACGAAGCAAATTACTTAAATCAATTTGCGCCATATAAGAACATATGTAGATAGTTCATGTAATTTATGGAAATTACAAGATACGAAATACCAATTGTTTCTGTAAGTTTTTTCTACTTTATTATTCTAGAAAAAATGGAGACGAACTGAGAACCATTTTTTTAATCGGTCAAAAAACGTACAAGTTTTTAAAACAGGAAAAATATTATGTTATTCTCACTAAATCTTACTAATAATATGGATGGATGGATGTTTGAAGGTATCTTCAAAACGGCTGAATAGATCTGGATGAAATTTGGCATACATATAGAAATCTGGAAGACCAAACAAAGT